CGGCAAAGATGGCGGCCGTCTCCGAGATGCCGGGGAGCCTGTGTTGGGGGGGGGGGGGGGGGTCGGCCTCCGCCGTGTGTGCCCGTGGGTAGGGGGTTGGGGGGAGGGCGTGTGCGAGGCGGACCGTTCGGCGAGGACATCGGGCGGGATGTGGTTCAGGTAGAGGTAGATGTGGTCCTGCCCGGGGGGAGGGGGCGGGGTTGGTGGGGGGTGAGGGGCGGAGGAGGCGTCTCATGCTCGAGGCTGCAGGGCGAGGGGGGCTAGGGCGAGGGGGGCTAAGGCGAGGGGGGCTGCAGGGCGAGGGAGGGCTAGGGCGAGGAGGGGCTAGGGCGAGGGGGGGCTAGGGCGAGGGGGGGCTAGGGCGAGGGGGGCTAGGGCGAGGGGGGGCTAGGGCGAGGGAGGGCTAGGGCGAGGGGGGCTAGGGCGAGGGGGGCTAGGGCGAGGGAGGGCTAGGGCGAGGGAGGGCTAGGGCGAGGGGGGCTAGGGCGAGGGAGGGCTCCTTGTCCGGCCCCACGCCGCGGCCCTCGTTGATCTCCATCGTCATCGACCGCGAGACGACGTCGCGCGAGGCGAGGTCCTTTGCAGTCGGCGCGTACCTGGCAGGGGGGAGGGGTTGCAGAGTGGACAAGGGAGAGGAGAGGGAGGAGGAGAGCAGAGAGGAGAGGAGAGGAGAGGAGAGGAGAAGAGGAGAGCAGAGGAGGAGAGGAGGACGTGTCTCACCGCTCCATGAAGCGCTCGCCCTCCGCGTTGCGCAGGATCCCTCCTTCCCCGCGCGCCCCCTCCGTGATGAGACACCTGCGCGCCGCGGGACGAGCCGGCAGTGGGCAGAGGGGTGGCCCGGAGGAAGGGGGGCCGGGAGGGCCGTCTCACCCGGCGCCGTAGATGCCGGTCGGGTGGAACTGCACGAACTCGAGGTCCTGCAGGGGCAATCGAGCAACATCAGAACCACAAGAGGACGCGGTCTCGTACTCTCTCAAGTTCGAGGTGCCTGCAGGGGCAGCCCCGCGCGCGCCACCATCGCCGACCCGTCGCCCGTGCACGTGTGCGCCGACGTGGCCGAGTACCACGCGCGCCCGTACCTGCGGGCGAGGGGCGGGGGTGGGGGGTGGGGGTGGGGGTGGGGCTGGAGGCCTGGGCGCGCCCGCACCCGCCCGTCGCGAGCACGGTGTTCTTGCACTGGAAGCGGTGCAGCGAGCCATCCTCCATGCAGAGCGCCATCACCCCGACGCACGCGCCTAGAGGGACGGCGGGGCGAGACCTACCACCCCTCGCCCCGGTGCGGGCCGCCGTCTCTCCAGCGCAGCCGCCGGCGTCGTCCATGATGAGGTCGAGCGCGAAGTACTCTAGGAAGAACTCCGTCTCGTGCCTCACCGCCTGGCCGTAGAGTGTGTGCAGGATCGCGTGCCCCGTCCGGTCGGAGCAGGCGCAGCAGCGGTACGCCTGAGGGGCGCGTCGCCGACGTGTCCATGACAGGAGCACGCGCAGCAGCAGCACACGCCTGGCCGCCCTTCCCGACTACGCCACTCTCTAGCAGCACACGCCTGGCCGCCCTTCCCGACTACGCCACTCTCTAGCAGCACACGCCTGGCCGCCCTTCCCGACTACGCCACTCTCTAGCAGCACACGCCTGGCCGCCCTTCCCGACTACGCCACTCTCTAGCAGCACACGCCTGGCCGCCCTTCCCGTAGTCGAGCGACTGGCCGCCAAAGGCACGCTGGTAGATCTTGCCCTCGTCCGTCCGCGAGAAGGGGACGCCGTAGTGCTCGAGCTCGATCACCGTCCGCGGCGCCTCCTTGCACATGTAGTGGATCGCGTCTTGGTCTCCCAGCCAGTCGGACCCCTTGACTGTGTCGTACATGTGCCAGCGCCAGTCGTCAACAGACATGTTGCCCAGGGCGGCGTTGATGCCACCCTGCGCCGCCACCGTGTGCGAGCGCGTCGGGAAGAGCTTGGTGATGCACGCCGTCTTGAACCCTGGGGGCAGGGACGAGCGGGCTGAGCGCCGGCGCGAGCGAGGCTGCGGGCGGGGAGGAGGAGGAGGGGAGGGAAGGGAGCCGGGCCAAGGCGCCGAGTGTCGGGTGAGGGCGGGGAAGGGAGGAAGGAGGGACTGCGGCTGCGGCTGCGGCTGCACACCGCCGCCAAGCGCGCTGCCTGGAGGCGGCTAGCCGGCCTCCCTCGCGCGAGCGAGGCGCGAGTGGGGCCAGAGGTGCAAGGTGCGAGGTGCGAGGCAGTGACGGTCATCGGCGGAGGGGAGGAGGGAGGGCGGCCGAAACCGGGAGGCGGAGTCGGTGGTCCGGGGGGGGGGAGGGGGGGGAGCAGGGTCCGGCCACGGGGCGTCTGTGGGTGGATTTGCAGTCGAGGTGGATTTGCAGCGGCCGCGCACCGTGGTTGGCGAGCCCAAAGGCCGCGCGCAAGCCGGCGCCCCCAGCTCCGACGACGACGGCGTCATACGCGTGATCCGTGATCTTGTAGTCCGATGACGAGGCCAAGCCGCGGCGCCCCCGCGTGAGCGGCGCGCGCAGCACGGACGAAGCACGCCTCATCAACCCGAGTGCGGCGGCGGCCGAACTGGACGTCGCCGACAAAAGAGAAGTTTCTTGCCCGGCCGCCAACGACGGCACTCCAAGTGCTCCAAGCCATCAACCCGAGTCGCAGGGGCCGGACTTGTATTGGGAAGGAGGAGACTCGGCTGGCGGAGTGCGCTGCGCGGGGCCTGCGCGGGATGTAGCCGGATGACCACGCTAGCAGATGTGAAGCTGAAGCGGTCTCGGGCACCGCACCGTGCTGCCACAAACAAAGCACAAACAAGTAATCTCTCTCGCAAAGCACAAACAATGATCAATGACAATGTGCTGCCACAAACAAAGGTCAAAGCACCACTAGCGATTTCGCGCGGAGGGCGTAGTGAAGTGCTGGGGCGCGCACTGTGTGTTATTCGGGTGGGGATTCATCAGTGGTAAGCGGCTTTAGTCACAGATCCAAGCTCAGACGTCACACCAACACCACAAACACGCTCACTTCGCCGCTGCTGTAGATTAGCCTCCGGGGGCCCATGCTACGTCGAAGCACAGACCCATCTCGGCACTCACGGGCTGCCACGCGCAACCCCTCCGACCCCCCGGGACCCGTAGGCGTCGAAGAGGCGCTCTCGGGGGGCCGTTCTGAGTTCATGCTACCACGAAGCACACTGTGCTGCGTCGAAGCACCGGGCCCGAGTCCGGAAGGCGGATGGTCGCGAGGTGTGCCTCCGGCGGGTCCTGGCCGGACGGGCAGGCGCGCTACGCCAACATCACCACAGCGCTGGACCAAAAAATCGAAATAAATGCTGAATTGTGAGTGAGCCTATCGAGCGCGCTGTATACTACTCACGCAGGATGCATTCACGCCTCGCTAACGGCGTCGACTTCCCGCTCCGGCTGGCCGGACAAGAGGCCAGCTTCGGCCGACAGAGAGAGCCCTCTCCCGCCCCACGCCGCCGCTCGGCTCCCCCATCCTTTTGAGGTCACGAGCTCGCCGTCCCGGAGCTCCGCAGCTTTCCCTTTTAGAGCTGTTTAACATTAACTTTGGGCCTAACAGTTGCGCTAGTGTTGGCTGAAATCCTTAACGTTGTTCAAGTGTTCACCCCAGCCCATGCTGTTACTGTTTGTTACTGTTGTTGCTGTTGTTCAGCGGTCAGCAAGCAGAAAATGCCAAAAAATCCGGGTAAAACCCGAAAATACCTGGGTTTTTTCGGGTATTTTCGGGTATTACCCGCACTGGACGCTGGAGATCGTCGTGGGTCACTGCCAGGCCTTCCTTATTGTTGTTCAGCCGGCCTAACGTTAGCTACTGTTGTTGGGGAGCCCCACTGTTCTGTTGTTACTGTTAACACTAGCAACACTGTTCAGCTCCCAACGTTAAACAGCTCTATATCCCTTTTGCTCCGAGCTCCACAGCCGCCCGCCGACAAACGGGCGCCGCAGCACGTCGGCTCCTTGTTGGCTCTGCGGCAGATCCGCTCCCACACCACGGGCACGTCGCACCCCCAGCGCATACACGGAAGGACGGGCAGATGCGCCCAAAGCCAGTGGCCCGCCCGCGCGGTGCGGACGCCGGCGCGCACGACAGCGCTCCGCTCGACCCACAGGCCGAGGAGCGTCCACGGGCTCGTGTCGTGAGCAGCGGCGATGCGCAGCAGAAGCCGGAACGTGGTGATGCAGAGCAGGAGGAACAACAGCACCAAAGCGCCAGCGGTCACTCCCACGTTTTGCTATATTGGCTTCAGGCATAAGGCCGGAATCACCACCGCCAGGCTCACGCGGGGTCATCGGCGGCGTCGACGGCGGGTCGAGAGGCAGCGTCGGCGGCGGCTCGACGGGCAGAGTCGAAAGCGCGGGTGGCTGTGCTGGCGGCGTTGGCGGCACAGACGGCAGCGCTAGGGCGAGAAGGGGCAGCAGAAACGTTGCCCGCCAAAAGAAAGCCAATTGTCACTTGGGCCCTCGGGGCGGCCTTCTCTCGAGGTCTCGAGATACACAAAGCGGCCAAGCAGAAACGCGCCCGATGAGCTTATAAAGAAAGAAAGAAAGAAAACAGACACGCCAAACGAGGGATGGGACGAGGACACAGGAGTCCACACCTGCACGAGCAGGATTTTGGAAGAACGATCAGGGGGACAGGTGGGGCTCTCCTGCTCCTGACAAGGGACACGATAGACTCGCAGCGCGGTGCGCGGTGGACTCCCACATCCACTGGCGGTCTCATCTCAGCGATGAGCTTATCACGTCCACCAAAACGAGCTCGCTTTTCTCGCACTTTTTTCTTCTCCTCCCAGGGAAGACCGAGGAGGCGGCCCTCGACATCGTGCGCTTCGAGCGGCAGCGCAACAAGCTCACCTCGCTGGGCTTAGCTCGCTGCGGCATCGGCCGGCCCCCCACACACACATACAACATATATGCTGCTTGTCCTGCTCGGAGTCTCTGCCTCCCACCAAAGAACACGACTCGCATTGAAAAACACAAGTTGGCCGCTGCGAGACAACCAGGACCCGACAAATCCGCTGCGAGACGAGTCGCAGCCCGCACATGCGGTCTGCGTGACAGGCCTCGAGCGCAGTTTTGTCGCCATCGGCGACAACGTCCGGCAAGGGATTCTCCGTTTCCTGGGCACTCCATCAATCCAATTTTTCGGCGTCCGTCCGCGGCAAGACAACTGGACGATGATCCGCCAGCTGTTTCCAGTGACGGAGAATCAGATTGAGCTCCAGACGTGGTGCTATAAATCCGACGCGGAATTCAACCTCACGAGCACGTGGCAGCACTGTGACGCGAGAGCGCGCGCCCACGACTGCCGTCGCGCCTTCCTGCAAGCGCTGTGCGACCTTGCGCACTGCGAGGCCATGATCAGGGCCCACGAACTGTCTAGGCGTGGACACTTCAAGACCATCACACGGCTGCGGCCCGACTTGTTCTGGGAGGCGGTCGTGGAGGCGCCTGTGATCGACGTGATCGACAACACGACGGTCTACGTCCCAGCCTCGGATAGCCAAGGCGGGATCAATGACCACATGGCGTATGGCGGCCGCTGGGCCATGCAACAGTATTTGACGCGCGGTCGCCACATCATGACAGCGCCAACGCTGGCAAAAACCCTCAAAGGATCCGAATGGAACATGAAGCACTTGCGTCGCGGTCTCAAAGGAGCCAACACCGAGCAGTTCTTGCAGCTTACGCTCCGCTTAGACGGGGTGCGAGGAGTGCCGATGCGGGACTGGATGTACTGCTATTACCGCGGCAAACCGCATTGGAGCGATACTCACGGCTGCGTGGGGCGCACGCGCTGTCGCAGCCCATGTAGAAGTCTGCACTGCGACCGGTCAGGTGCACGGTCTGGGGAGTGCGCCTGCTCAAATCAGACATGCGCGGAGGTTCGCGCTAGTGGCCGAGGCCCGTTCAGACATCACTTCTGCGGCAAAGGGGGAAGGATGTCGTTTGGCGTGTTTGGGAACGCAGCGCCGCGGATGTCTCACACACCGTGCGTCGATGTCATCGGTCGCCAGCTGTTCCACTCTTGCCCAGACCGACTAGACTCCTTGAGTCACCAAGCTCTTGGACCAAGTTCAACTCGTTCTGAGGCTGATGACCAGACGTGCTGGCCGGCATGCCCATGGCCGCTAGGCCCCGACGGAAAGACGCCAATCTCCTATACTTCACTAGACCAGCTGCCGCGGTGCGTGCTGCCGTCCATGGAGAAAACGTCGGCGTTGGCGGTCGATGGCAGATGTGACGCGCAGAGAACACGAGAGGTAAAGTCACAGGGCGGTGTCTTCGCAATCCGTCCTCTGGCACTGAAGACGCCGCGGCCAGCATGCAAATGGGAGCTGCAGCGGCATAATGATACACATAGATCAAATAGATAATGATACAATAGATCGCGGCGCATCTATGTGTCCTCAGATGTCGGAGCATTGAATACGCATCTCTATCGAAGCATTTACTTAGATACGATTCTTCATTCTTGTTTGTTTTTGAGAGCGCCTTCGTTGTTAATATTGCACAATACGTAATTACACAAACGGACGGTCACTTGCTCTCTGGGGGGAGGCGGGGGCCCTGGAGGGTATCCATGCGGGGGGGAGATGGGGTCCCATGGCCCGCCGCAGGCGCCGATTTTTTCGGCACTTTTTTCTTTTTTGCGCGATTTTTTACTTGTTTCATGGGAATTCGCTGTACTTGCAGCATGCTATCACGCCTTGCGACAGCCTGTCGGCGCTGCTGACCGTGCCATGCTGCACAATTGACCACCTGCATAGCTCGCGGCCTTAGTATCAAGCATTCAGTGACGACCTGATCCTACGGTCAGTAGGAAGGTGTCCTTCTATCGTGTGCACGCTTCTGACGCAATGCGCGTCACAGACTGCCTCGGCGACTGGCTGCTGGCACTCTCGAGGCTATGCCTACACAGCCTCGCGCGCATGGGCAGTCAAGAGGGACCATGCACTTTCTCAGGACAGCGCCGGTGCCTCTCTCTTGGACCGGCAAACGTGGTGGTCTCGTGTCACCAATGTGGGACCAGTGCGGCATCGCGCCATCGACAGCTCTGAACTGCGCCTCACCACTGACCGGGAAGGCCGCCAAGTGGGCCAGCACCGGTCACACATTGTGGCAGCAGTCAGCAGTTGTCTGATAGCTAGAGCAGCAGCGTCAGGGTCGCAGGGTCGGATCGTGTCAAGCCTCTCGCCCGGCCGGCCACGTGCAGACGTCGGCCTGTCTGCTGTCTGGAGTGATCTGTCGGCGGTCAGTACGACCGATCAGGTTGGAGGTTTCTCATGATTGGAGGGTCTATCTGTGTGTACTCCTCGAGATCTCTCCAAATCTGCCCTCTGATTAACCTAGCTTAATCGGGAAGTTGGTGCTAGTAGAGACTAGTAGAGCCGGAGCCCCGTTTCCGCACTGCGGCGCGGCGCACGGTGCCTCCGGGGGCCCCCGCCTCCCCCCAGAGCACTTGCTGCAGCCACGTAACGCGCACACACCCACACCGCACCACACTCCGCGCCCGCGCCCCCCCCCCCCCCCGCCCCGCCTAGGTTGGAAGGAGATGGGAAGATGGAACAGCCCGAGGAAAGGAGCTAACAAACACGTATGGGAGGTTGAAGTTGTGCACCACGCTGCCCGGCGTTTCTCACTTTCCGGGACAGCCCCGCCCTTGCGAGGCAGGAAAGTGGCGGCTACCCCGTACGCCCTGTTGTCTACGACCCCCTCGCCGACCGTCCAGACTCCCCTTCTCCGTCTCCAACCCCGACGTGCCGACGAACCGTTGAGTCTCTGCCCCGCGCGTCCCCGCCCTTCGCCGTCTCTCTCTCACCGACACACATCGCACACGCACATAGAAGACAAACCCGGCGTTCTGCTCTCAAAAGAAAAGAAACATGGGAAGGAGGAGACCAGCGGGGGAGACTCCCTGCCTATGCAACACCCCAGAGAGGGGCTGCCATCGCCGAAGCTGTGCCTAAGCATATAACTCCCAAACCCGCAGCGGCGGCCCGGGGGGCCTTGGGGGCAGGCCAGCCTGCCGGACCGCTGTTGCACGGGGCCAAGCACCAGAAGATGAGTGTAGTTGATGGATTGGGCTGCCGACCGCGCCTCCAGCGCGAGCGTGACACTGCACTTGGCGCCGAGCGGCCGCGGCCCAGACCTTGTGCAGGCCGACCCTCATTGCGCACGCCGGTCCGGACCGATGGCGCTCGATGTGGAGCAAGCAAGACCCCCCCCCCCCCCCCTCGCCGCGCGCCCGACCTTTGAACGGCCGCCAGGAGCACCAAGAGAACTCCTCACGGCTGTGCTCAAGGGGCTTCGACCGGCCTCGGCTGGGGGGGGGCGGGTTGTCCCGGTTGCGGACGCGTTCTGCAGCCCCCTGGGCGTGGGTCAGCACCCCAAAACTGCCCCCCGGCGGCATACAGCACTGCCAGCCAGCCTCTTCCTCCTCCTCAAGGGCTGTACTATGGCCATATTGCGCCGCCTCCTGCTGGTGCAGCCGGGCGCGCGCGCGCCGCGGGCGCCTCGGCGCGCGCACGGCACCTTTGAGAATCCCCGCGTCCCTCCCTCCTAGTCACAATCTCAATATCTCGACTCTCGAACACGAAGTGCTGCGATCGGGGGTGGTCCAATTTTTCTTTTCTTTTTTTGGGTCCTGTGGGCACCCTACTCAAGACTGCTTCAGCAGCGTGCACCTCGATCCTGTACCGTGTTTGTTATGACCCCCCCCAATGAGCACACCAGCGAGGGAGGGCGAGACGATCGAGGGGTCCAGTACCATGCGGAATCGATCGACCCTATCCAGTGCTCAATCAAGAGTCATGTCAATCAAGCAAGAGTCAAGACTCAAGTTTCAAGATAGACCGAGAATGAGACCGCCAGTGGAGTTGGGAGTCCACCGAGCACCGCGCTGCGAGCCTGTCGTGTCCCTTGTCAGGAGCAGGAGAGGAACCCCTTGGGCCCAACCGCTAAGAATCCGATTTCTTTGCCGCTGCGCTGTGGCGGGCGGGTCCCTGTGTCTCTCGGGGAATTCCGACATGGTGTGCCTACCGCGCCGCGCTCAAACCCTGCCCGCCGCACTGAGCAGCTCCTCTCCCTTCGCCCCCGCTGCGCTCTGCAACCCCTCCATTCCCACCGCGCCCTAGTCCCCGTGTCACTGAGAGACCGCGCACAGCAATGCGACGCTCTGTGCACGGTGCGTCGCACGCGTGGATAGGGGGATATTGCCGCGCGCGCGCGCGCGATCCACGCCCCCTCGGTCTGGATTGATAGAGTGGCGTCCGCCAGCCGAGCCTCCCACCCCTCCACCTGCCCGCCGTGCCACCGACTGCCAGCTGCTGAGCGCTCATGGCGTCCCTCTGTCCAAAGGGTGAGCTATGGCGGTCCAAGAAGATGCAGCTGGTGCAGCTGATTGTACAGAACGATGCGGCGCACGCTGTCATGTCTCACCTGGGCGAGCTGGGAAAGATGCAGATGCGTGACGTGCGCTCGCCCACTGCAGCCAGCCTCCCCTGCGCGCCGGTTGCTCCCCGCCTCGTCACCCCAACACCCTCGCCCTCGGTCGCCTGACCGCCGCCCGGCCTGACCGCCGCCCGGCCCGCCCTCCTCGGTGCGTGCAGCTCAACGCCGGCACCTCCTTCTACAAGCGCTCCTTCGTGGACGAGGTTCGCGAGTGCGACGAGCTCGGCCGCATCCTGCGCAGCATTGGCGACGAGCTCGATGCGGCCGGCATCAAGCCTGCGCAGACGCGCGTTGACGTTCTCGAGCTTCCCGAGCTTGGCAAGGTCGACACGCAGCTGCGCGAGGTGGAGGTGGAGCTTGAGAGCCTCAAGGCGTCCCAGGCCCTCTTCGAGAAGAACCACAACGCCCTCGAGGAGCAGGCCATCGTGCTCGCGATGGGCAAAAACTTCTACAACACTGGCGAGGGGGCGCTCGCCTCCCGGGAGCTCGAGGCCGACAACGAGCTCCTCTCCCTCTCCGAGTTTGGCGCGCCGAGCAGGTGGCGCGGTCACCGCCCCTCTCCGGCCCCGCCGCCGCCTCTCACCGGCCCTCCCCGCGCCCTCAGCTCAATGCTCGGCGTCGTGGCCGGTGTCGTCAAGACGGAGTTCGTCGCCTCGCTCGAGCGCATCCTCTTCCGCGCCACGCGCGGCAACTGCGTCTTCCAGCAGAAGCGGATCAAGAAGCTGCTCCTCGACGCCGGCACCGCCAAGGACGGCCCCGAGCTCACGCAGAAGAGCTTCTTCATGGTCTTCTTCACTGGTGGCGTGCTCGGGGACAAGGTGTCCAAGATTGCAACCTACTTTGGAGCCACCCTGTACAAGTACCCCGACCTGCCGGGGGAGCACGCGAGGATGGTGGTCGAGGTCGACCGGCGGCTCACCGAGTCCTCCGAGGTGCTCGCACGCTCGACGGCCATCCTCAACAATGCGCTGCAGAGGTGCGCGCACGACTATGCGCTCTGGACGCACGTGGTGGGGCGCGAAAAGATGGTCTACGACGCGCTCAACAAGTGCGAGTTCGACATCAAGCGCCACGTCTTCATCGCAGAGGGCTGGGTTTGCACAGACGAGTACGAGATGATCCACGCCGAGCTCCAGCGAGCGGCAATCTCGCGCGGCCTCGACACGCGCCCCATCATGAACCAGCTGCGGTCGCGGCTGACCCCTCCCACCTACGTGCCGACCAACAGCTTCACGAGCGGGTTCCAGGCGCTCGTCAACACGTACGGCACGCCGCGCTACCGCGAGGTGAACCCGGGCGCCTTCTGCTGCATCCTCTTCCCCTACCTTTTCGGCATCATGTTTGGCGACTTTGGGCACGGCCTGCTCTTTGCCCTCTTTGGGCTGTACCTCATCTCCAAGGAGAAGGAGTGGGAGGGCAAGGACCTCGGCGACATGCTCGAGATGGTGTACGGTGGCCGCTACATCTGCTTCCTCAACGGCGTCTTCGGCGCCTTTGTCGGCCTCCTCTACAACGAGGCGTTCGCCTTCCCGATGGGCTTCTTTGGCACCTCTCGCTGGTTGGGCCCGGGGGGCGAGACGTGCGCGAATGGCGAGGACTGCGAACTCTCGCCCGAGCTGGGAATCTACCCGGTTGGGATCGACCCCATCTGGCACGTAACGGAGAACAAGATCACCTTCTTCAACTCGCTCAAGATGAAAATCTCGATCGTGGTCGGCGTGCTGCAGATGTCGCTCGGCGTCTTCCTCTCGCTGCTCAACCACCTCGAGTACAAGGACTACAAGAAGGTTGTCTTCCAGTTCATCCCCGAGATTGTCTTCTTTGAGGGCATCTTCGGCTACCTCGTCCTAACCATCTTTTACAAGTGGGCGACGGACTGGTCGTGCGTCGGCGACGGCATCTGCCAGCCGGCGCCCTCGCTCCTCACCCTCCTCATCAACATGTTCATGTCGCCGACGGACGACATCACGACGCCACTCTACGGCATCGAGTGCTTCGGAGGGCCCGAAGACGGCTCGTCCTACAAGGGCGGTTGCAGTAACGTCTTCGCGCTCGGCTACTGCTCCTACCCGGCGCTGAAAGCGGCGTGCCCCCATTCGTGCGAGGGATATCTGGGCATTTCCAGCGGGCCCGACGGTAGCACGGTCGGGAGCTACGTCGACAAGCTGGGTCCGAACGCCGGGCAGCTCAAGGTCTGCATCTCGCCGATGCAGTCCTCCATCCAGGGCACCCTGCTCATCGCCGCCTTCTGCGCCGTGCCGGTGCTGCTCCTCGCCATCCCGTTCATCGAGATTTACCAGCACTCGGGCAAGCGCGGCAACCAGTCGTACGCGAACCTCGACGATGACACCGACGGCGCCCAGCCGGCCCCAGCCGGAGAGGAGCACCACGAGTTCTCTGCCGGCGATGCCTTCATTCACCAGGGCATCCACACGATCGAGTTTGTGCTCGGCGGCATCTCAAACACGGCGTCGTACTTGCGGCTCTGGGCGCTCTCGCTCGCGCACTCGCAGCTCGCCGAGCTCTTCAAGGACATGATCCTTGGCTCGGGCCTCAAGTCGCGTATCGAGAACCCGTATCTCGCAGCGTTCGTCCTCTTCATCGCGTTCTCGATGTGGGCCATCATCTCACTCGTGGTGCTCATGGCGATGGAGAACCTCTCCTCCTTTCTGCACGCGCTGCGGCTGCAGTGGGTCGAGTTCCAGAACAAGTTCTACTACGGTGACGGCCAAAAGTTCTCGCCCTTCACCTTTGCGGCCATCGGACAGGCGGAGGAATAAGAGGGAGGTGAGGCGCCGCAGTTTGCCTCAAGTGCCGGGCCGCCCCCGCTGCGGGGGCGCAGCCGTCGCCACATCGGTCATCAACAACCACGAACCAGCTCTAGGCCAACCGCAAGCACCTTTTCGGCAAAAAGAGCAGCTCGGTAGCACTCCACAGAGTCAAGAGCTTGTCACACTTGGTGTGAGGTATTAGTTAAAGTTCTTGACAAAAATGACAGTTGTGGAGGAGCGTTTCGCTGGCATATACGTGTCTTGCAGAGAGGCGGAGCGATGCAGGTTGCAGCTGCGATGCACAGCGTGCATGTGGGCTTTGGGGCGGCTTTTCTCAGGCGCTGTGCGCGGGGATATCGGTCACCCGGGCCGCTCGCATGCAAAGAGTCGACAGTCGTCTCCCCACAGTGTCTATCCCCCTACGACCCCTCACGTCGGGAAGTGCATGGGCCCCCAGCTATCCCGCCGCCGCCCGCCCAGCCTGGTTGAAGTCCCAAGACGCGGATACACGCTCTCACCCATCCGCCCCCTCAATCGCTCGCCTCCTATCTGAGCCATCAGAGGGGCCCTGCGATGCACGGGCCAGCCTGCGGGTGCGGGGCGTCGCCACGACCCGACCGCGCGCGCCTGCCGCCCCGCCGAGAGTCCCTCCCTAGACCTGCTGCTCCGATGAGAGCAGACCTTGGCTGCCTTCCTTGGCCGGCATCATCTCGTCGCCAGACCGTGACGAGTCGCCGTACCCAATCTCGCGCTGCTTCATCGCCTGCGCGTTATACCTCTGCGTATACACAAACGGGTCGGTGCTCGTCGTGCGGCTCCGCGTCAGAAAATCGCCTGCGCAGGCGGCGCCGCGGTGGGTAGCACAGCGGCGGGGCTCTCCAGTGTTGCTCTCCCGGCGGCGCGCCAATGTTGCTCAGAACGCCGCTGCTGAAGGCGTTGCGGTATCGTCCCATCTCGTCGCGCAAGTAGACGTAGCGGTGCTTGTTGAGGTGCTCGTTGGTGGTCAGGTTCGAGGCAATCAGCCACCAGTGGTACGAGTTCATCACTACCTGCCGACGACGGCGGAGCGGGCGGTGGCGGGCGGTGGCGCGCGGCGGCGGGCGGCGGCGGGACGGGCGGCGGCGGGCGGTGGCGCGGTGGGGCGGGGCGGCGGCGCGCGCCGCAAACAGCGAGAAGAGGAGATGGTCGCACAGCTGGAGGAGCACCTAATTAATTAATTAATGAATCCTTAATAAAGAAGAGGAGATGGTCGCACAGCTGTGCGAGCCCCTTGCGGAGGGGAGGCGCGCGAGTGGGAGGGTGAGCCTCGCGGCGCGGCAGGCGGGCTCTGGCGGAGGGAGGGAGGGGAGGGGAGCCGCACCCAGCCGTTGCGGCCGACTCGCAGGAGGTACTCGAGGCAGAGCGCCGCGTCGAGCGGGATGGCGACCAGGCCGCAAAACATGAATGCGATGAAGAGGGCGTAGTTGCGCGCGCCGATGGTGTTGTGCACGTACGGGCAGTGGTGGTCGAAGGCGGAGACGCACCGCTTGAGCTCGCCGCAGTGCTTGGAGCGCAGCGGGCGCGCGATGTGGCAAGTGTGGCAGAGCGGGCCGATCGCGGTCGCCTCCTCGATCCTGCCGTCCGCCGCGAGCTCGAGGGCGCGCCTACGGGGAGCGAAGACGAGGCTGGCGGGAGGCGCGTGCAGTGCCGGCCGTCGGCGTCGGGGCTCGGGTGCGCCGGTACTGGGCGTTTGCGTCGCCCGACGTGTCGATGCTGCCTGCGGCGGCGGGAGGGCGGGGCTGGGGGCGAGGTCGGCCGAGGCGGTCCCGAGGCGGCCTCACGGTGCGCGCGGGTGGGGAGGGTGAGGGGGGGCCGGGAGGCGACGGGGAGTGGTCGGGTGAGGGGTGAAAGGGGGGGAGAGACGGGCGGCGCGATGCGCGTCAGGGGGAGAGCGGCGCCCGGGTCAGTCATGTAGGTAGCGAAGATGAACAAGTACATGCCGAGGAAGGAGGAGGCGAAGGCGAGGTGGCGCATCGGCGCGTCCACCTCCTGCGGGGGGGCGGGAGGCGGGTGCGGTGAGGCCCACTCGCTCGCGTGGTCACTTCATGGACGAGCTGCCGCCGCTCCTGCGCGAGGCGGTAGTACGTGACCGCCGCGGCGAAGCTGTTGACCCAAAAGAAGTAAAACATCACCTTGTCCGAGGCGCCGCCCTGGAAGCAGAGGGGAGGGGGAGGGGGCGGGAGGGGGTGGGAGAGAGGGCGCGTGCTCGGCCCGCCCGCCCGCCCTCCGCGCGCCTGTCCCATGATCGTGTAGAAGCAGCGCATGAGTGGCGCAGGGTTGAGCGGCGCGAGAGCCTGCAGCACGGTGCCGGGGGAGAGGAAGAGAGTCGGTCCACTCGCTCCTCCGACCCACGGCACCCTCCTGCCTGACACACGGTGCGCCGGCAGCCATGGCAAGGACACCAGCTCTGACTAGCTCCTCTTCTTCTTCGCGCGCCTGCAGCACGTGCCGGTAGCCGCGCTCGCGCGCCACGTCGATCGGCGTGCGCCCCTTGTTGTCCTTAAGCTTGACGAGCTGCGTCGGGTTGGGCGTCGCCTCGATGATGTACTCGATCACCTGGCGCGGCGGAGGCGCGGCGCTGAGTGGACCTCGGCCGAGCCTCCTCCCCCCCCCCCCCCCCCAACCCCTCCTCGCCTGCAGCGACCCCTGCGCTGAGGCGAGGTGCATCGGCGTCGAGCCGTACGAGTCGGCGGCGTCGGCGGGCAGGCCTGGCGGAGGGGAGGGTGAGGGGTTGAGGGGTTGAGGGGGTGAGGGGGTGAGGGGGTGAGGGGGGTCGAGGGCGAGGGCGGGCGTGCCGAGGTAGTGGAGGAGGGCGACGGTCTGCTGGTTGTTCTTGTACGCGGCCCAGTGGAGCGCCGAGTCGGAGTAGACGTCGAGCAGGTTGATGTCTGCGCGCTGCTGGACGAGAAAGAAGACGAGGACGGTGTGGTCGTACTGGGAGGCGATGACGAGCGGCGTCGTGCCCTGCGCAGGGGAGCGCGATCCGTCACCGCGCAGGCGCACTGGAGAGGGGAGGAAGGAGGGGGAGAGGAGAGAGATGAAGGAGCTAGCAGAGGGAGAGTGGGAGGAGAGAGGAGAGAGGAGAGAGGAGAGAGTGAGGCGACCTTGACGTCGCGCGCGTCGATGTTGGCGCCCCGCTTGAGCAGCACCTTGATCACGTCGGTATGGCCCCGCGTCGCCGCCCAGTGGATGGGCTGCATCCCGGACGACTCAACCGCCCAGTCGTGCGGCGCTCCCTGCTCGATCAGCCACTCGACCAGCTCCGCGTGCCCCAGCAGCGAGGCCCAGTGGACGGCAGTCGCGCCGTCCTCAGTGTCGCGGCCCTGCAGCGCCTCAGGGTGCTGCGCTATTACGCCCTGGCTCATCTCCTTCGACCCCGACCGCACCGCCATGATGAGCAGGTCCGCAGGCGTCGGCACCATGCCGCCCGCCATGTCGGCCGACGACGCGGCGCCCGCGTCCGACACCGCGCCGTGGTTGTGCGTGGACGCGTCCGCATGCGAGTGTGACGCAATAGCGGGGGGGCTCAGCCGCGCGCGCCGCCGGGCGGGGAAACGGGTTTTCTTTTGTTGAGAGCCACCACATTGCGAGGGAAGAGACGAGATCTCTATAAATATCCGCCGCAGGGCTTACGTCACGCGTTGCGGTTCGTCGGCTCCACGAGGTTGATGAAATCGTCGGTGCCACACGCCAGCACGCGGAGGATCGCCTCTTCCGAGCGCACGTACTCGAATGGCAGGGGCTCCAGCTTCTGCAGCGTGACCGTCACGGGCGTCCGCCCAGGCCGCGCCTCGACGACCACCTGCGTGGTGGTCGACCCTGGCGTCTGGCTACCGCGTGCGGTGATGGAGTGCGCTCCCAGGTAGAGGCCAAGCTCGATGGCGCGCAGCCGCATCATCCGGTTGAGCGTACGCGTGCCCGTCCAGCCGAGCCGCGCGAACGGGAGCTCCTCCGGGTGCGAGCAGACGACGATGTCGATCCGGTGCAGCTTGCTCGTGCGCGCGCTGCGCCAGATGCCAAAGAACTTGTCGTGGTGGTCGTGGTGCAGGTTCTCGTAGCCCTTGCTCGTCTCATTGGCCATGTGGAGGTCACTCAGGTACGGCCGCGGCGTCTCGTGGCGATACCTCGCCGTCTTCTTGTTGTGGTACGCCTCCGTCTTGGGCAGCACGCGCCCCCGCCGCACCAGCTCCTCGAGCAGCAGGTTGATCACGAAGACGGGCTGCCCGTTGCCGTCCAGGAAGCTCGCCATCTCCTCCGCGTGGCTTAGGAGGAGGTCGACGTCGTGCCCTGCAAACCCGCGCGTGCGGCCGCCGCCCACAAACTCGGCGTGCCAGCCGTTCGCGTGCGGTATGCTGAGCGCGCGCACGGCCTCCTGCACCGTCCTCAGCATCGCGATGGCGTCGTCGGCGGGCACGGGCTCCTGCAAGTCCTCGTGCACCGCCAGCGAGTGCTGCAGTCGGACCCCGCCGCCGAGGCTGGCGAGCCTGTCGGGGCGCGCGCGCAGCTCGGCGATGGATCGGATCGGGTCGCGCGTATCGTCCACGAGCTCCCCGGCACGGATGGCGCTGAGGCAGAGCACGGAGGCGAGCTCCAGCTTTGCCGGGGCGCCGGTCATGCGCCTCGTGGCTCCAAGCTCGCTCCTGTGCGCATGCACGCGGCGGCTGCCGCTGCTGTCCAGGGGCGCTTCACCGCGCTGGAAGCGAGAGAGGGTCCGCCCGCATGTGCCGGTCTCGACGATGTCGAGCACCTTCCGCGCATTGGACTCGCCCAGGAACGGCTCGGCCTTGAGCCGCTCGAGGGTGCGCCCCCGCCCGCGCGACGCGAGGGACGCGCTGATCGACCACGTCAGGCCTTTGACGACGGCGTTTGCGCGCGCGTACTGCAACGCCTCGGAGTTGGTCGCGAGGCACTCCGGGTCGGCATAGTCGTCGCCCTGGCAGACCAGCTCGTACTTCTCGAGTTCGCGCAGCGCTTTCTCGAGATGGGCCGTGCCGTGCGGCGACACCAGCGGAAACGCCTTGCGCAGCATCCGCTCGGCAGCAGTGGGCTCCTTATCGATTGCTGCAGTCAGCGCAGACGACGGTTGGAGTATGAGAGCGGAGCATGATGAGCCCGCCGACGTGCGCTGGCGCTTTATATTCGTCACCCGTGGATCTCTCGCGAGCCCATCCTCATCGCTGTCGTAGCCTGTCACTTGCCAGAGGCTTGCCAGAGTGTGAGTGCTTTCATCGCCACCGTCTAGCGGCTCGCAGACCGCCTCGCTGTCTTTGATGTCGCGCAGGTAGTAGAGCGCGCCACGTGCGCATTGCACTATCGTCGTCTTCTCTTTGCGGAGCTGCTTCGTCGCCTCGGATACGTCGAGCGAGGCGACGAGCGAGGACGCTGCCGACAAGACAGGGGACCGAGACGGCATTCTCGAGGCCGCCGGCGTGTATTTCTTCTCTGCACTATAGCCCTTGAGAAAAGCTCCCATTATGCAAACCTGTGCCTGTGTCCTAGGAAGTAGACTGGGAGGGGTACTCCCATAGGCAAGAAGAGGTCTGGAGAGGCCCACAGCGGTCAGGAGAGGCCCACCCAGGAGGGTGCTAGATGAGAGTCAGCAGAGCGCGCCGTCTCGGCGGCTATGGGCAAGTGGGCTGAGAGACAAGAGGGATTTTTCTCTCGGGCGGAAGTGGAAGCCCCGACTTCTAATAAATTGTGCCAGGCGTAGCCGGGGGCGGACAGCACAGAACCCTCCTTCCTGAGTCACCAGAAAATCCCAACGATCCTTGAGCGGAGGCCGCCTTGGCCACTTTTCCGGCCTCTCCGGAGAATCTGGGAGAATGGCTACCATAGCCTAGCATGGCACCCGCGGGCAAAGCTGCCCCCAGGTCCCTAGAGCCCATGGGCATTCCCAAAGGATATTGTCAGCGTGAGGTGAGGGCGCAACGGTGGGGGCTCTCACCAGCCCCTCAAAGTCGGGCCTCTCGGGCGGCGGTCAGAGGGGCGGGCAAGGGCACGTGGGAGAAGGGTCAGTGCGGCCCACAAGGTGTGAGCTACCCCCTCTCCTAGGTGTGACTCTACAGCCCCTGGGGCCCTCTGGGCTGGGCACCATCAGCTTGGGCAGAGGTCCTCGGGGTAGGGAGAGAGGGAGCTCCCTTTTCAGGCTCCCCCAACCGCGCATTAACTCGCAAAAGAAAACAGGATTTCGCGTCAGGCCGCCGTTTCTAAGCCTTTCCACACCCCTCACCCACCCCACGCCGTGGTTTCTTAGCTCCCAAGGTAGGTCAAAGGTCAGAGCCGGCCCCCTCGGCGGAAGAGGTGAGCTGCGGTCCCGGATCCGATGCCGCCAGCCAGTCTGCCACCGACTCAAGACGCACACGCATCCATCCACTCGCTCAAAACACCGCAGACTTGTAAAATGCCAAGTGCACGCGCCGCGCAGGCGAAGAGAAATTTTGAGCTCGGAGCTCCTGTTCACACTCGTGTCTGGCCTTTTCTCGGAGCCGCGCCTGCGGCGCGCCGTGGTTTCTTAGATTTTTGCGGAAATCGCTCGGCGTGGTTTCTTAATGCCACGCTTTCTTAATGCCCGCAACCCACTGTACCCTTGCATGAGCCGATGCTAGCATGAGCCCGAAACCGCGCCATCCTCGATCGCCGTGCAAAGCTTGCTTCCGAGCTCTCACGCCGCGCGTAGGGCCCTTAGGGGTCTAGTAAGAGAACACAACCCCCTCTCCCTTTTGCTTTTCTCCCAGTAAGTATGCTACATACGTACACTGAGAGAGAGAGATTTTCTCCCAGTACAGCTAAAAGTACGTACATACGTACATTGAAAATTCTTGTTGCTGCAAAAGAGCTTTACTTGGAGTGCGTTAACCTCACATCTTTACGAAAGAGAGCCTCCGGAGTCCGGACGTCGCGCGGACGTGAGCAGGCGCACATCGGATCCGGGACATCGCTTCCAGGGGGGGGGGGCGTGCACGCGTGCTTCTCTCCACACCACATGCTGGGGGGGGGCGTCCGACCCCCCCCAGAGGCTTCACCACATGCTAGGGGGGGGTCCGACCCCCCCCAGAGGCTTCACCACATGCTAGGGGGGGGTCCGACCCCCCCCAGAGGCTTCACCACATGCTAGGGGGGGGTCCGACCCCCCCCAGAGGCTTCACCACATGCTAGGGGGGGGTCCGACCCCCCCCACGAGGCTTCACCACATGCTAGGGGGGGGGGGGGCGAAGCACGCCCCCTCCCTGGAAGCGATGTGCGCCTGCTCCGTACTTGCGGACGTACGACCCCCCAGACACTATGGATGAGGACAGCGCGGCCGCGATGGGAGACGGCACAGACAGAGCGACGAACACGAGGGGTCTCCTGGCGACCACGCACCACGGGCTGCCTCCTTGAACCGAATACTCGTGCGGCACGGGTCAAAAAGCTACAAGCGCCGTCGCCACTGCCGAGCACGCCCTCCTCTCAGCCTCCGTGCGCAAGTTGCGGCGGCGCCCGCCCGCCGCAGGCGAAGAAAATTTTGAGGAACCCTAATGTGAGCTCACGGCCGACTTAGCCCGCATAAGAGGCTCCCGCCGATCTTAGCTCCAAGTGATCTTAGACCGCGTAACCGTAAGCACCCCAGCGTGACCGGTCACACTTTGAGGCTCAGAACTTAGCCTACTACCCAACCAGTACCTAGGTCCTAGCCCAGTGTCGCAGTCTCCCGACGGCGACGCGGAAGAGACGAGAGCTCAAGAAGTGGCAGTTGAGGTCGTTCCACACTTCCAGGGGACCAGGTCGAGCGAGGTTTTGCGGCCGTTTAAACAAACTACCTGTAAGAGTACACAATCAGAGATAGGTAGTCGTAACAGCCATGCACCGCGTTAATCTCATATGTCCTCGCAGCCCTTTCGCGCTCGCGGCCCCGTATTGCGTGTACGTATCGTTATCGGTGTGTGGCACATCGGGACTTCGGGAGACGTGTAGCTCCCTCCTCAGTCCCAGTACTTGATGGTGCCGTCCCATGAGCACGTGGCCACGCGCGACGGCTCCACGGGGTGCCAGATCGCCTGGATGCAGACTTGGTCGTGGCACTTAAGCTTCCGGAACACCTTGCCGCTCTTCCAGTCCCAGAACCAGAGCCGGCCGTCGCTGTCGCCCGACATGACGTAGTTGCCATCCGGGGACATGTCGGGCTTGCACGCGTAGCCGGCGACGATGTGGCCCTTGAAGGTCTGTCCAAGAGGGGGGGGGGGGGGCGTGGTGAGTGCGGCGGAAGGGCAAGGCCAGGGCTGGGCGGAGGGGGGTGGAGTGGATGGGTGGGGTGGGGTGAAACGGGGGCGGCGAAGCGCGCCTTCTTGCGGTTGTGCTTGAAGCGGCCCGCGGCGGAGTAGGTTGTGATCTGGTTGTCGAGGTTTTGGCAGAGGAGCCACTGGTCGTTTGGCGTCTTTGTGACGGCAGGCATGGAGTGGAGGGTCGGGTCGGCAGATGTGCTTGATCGGGACGGGGATGCCGTACCTTGCGCGGCGGGTGGGTGGGGGTGGAGGGGGTGGCGAGGCCAGGCGCGGGAGCGCGCTTCCGGGGGTGGGGTGGGTGGATGGGGGGGGGTCCGGGGCACGGGAGAGAGAAGGGGCGGCGCGCGGGCGGCGCGCACTCCCAGATGAGCATCTTCTTGTCGTCGGCGGTGGAGGCGAAGCGCGCGTTGTTCTCGACGAAGGTGATCGTGTTGACCTATGGCCGGCGGAGTGCGCGCCTCACAGGCCGACTGGCGCTCGGCCCTGCTGGACGGGCGGCGCTGCGGACCGCGGCGAGGTGCTGGTCGTAGAGCTGCTCCACCTTGCCGGTGTGCGTGTCGTACTGCACGATGTGCTTGTTGGAGCAGCCGGCGAGGAAGACGTGCTGCTTGTCGTCGTCCGGGTTGAAGGTGCAGCAGTAGGGCAGCTTGCGGTTGGTGAAGGCGGAGATGCACTGGCCCGTCTCCGTGTCCCACAGCTTGAGGTAGCGGTCATAGGAGCACGTGAGGAAGCGCTTCCCGTCGTTGGTGAACTGGATGTCGCGCACCGCCGCCGCGTGGCCCATGTAGGTCTGCACGCACTTGCGCGTGTTGAAGACGTCCCAGATCTTGACCTTGTGGTCCATGCCCGCGGAGAGCAGCAGGTGCCCGTTGCCGGGGAACCAGCGGATCGCCGCCACCCCCTTGGTGTGGCCCGACCACGTGTGGATCCACCTGCGCGCAGAGCCGCACGCGTGTCGCGGGCGTGTCGCGGGCGTGTCGCGGGCGTGAGGTGTCGCGGGCGTGTCGCGGGCGTGTCGCGGGCGTGAGGTGTCGCGGGCGTGTCGCGGGCGTGTCGCGGGCGTGAGGTGTCGCGGGCGTGTCGCGGGCGTGTCGCGGGCGTGAGGTGTCGCGGGCGTGTCGCGGGCGTGTCGTGCGCGTGTCCAAGGTGTCGCGGTGGCGAGGTCGGGGGGAGGGTGTGCATCGCAGTCACCGCTTGGGGATGAAGCACTCGTGCTCCTCCTCGCGCACGTCCGTCGGCGGCGTCGTCCAGGAGCGGCCCTGCGGCGCGGCGTGGTGGTCAGGGAGGGCGGTGCCTCAGAGCCTCAGCGCCGCGAGATGGACGAGGTGTCTGCGAGGTGTTTGTGAGGTGTCTGCAAAGTGTCTGCGAGGTGTCTGCGGAGTGTCTGCAAAGTGTCTGCGAGGCGGACCTGGTAGTCCACCATCGAGGAGCCGTGGAAGACCGCCCGCTCCTGTCCGCACAGACGACGCGTGAGCAGGCGCACCGCACCGCGCACCTCCTGCCGCAGCCGCGAGGCCACGCCTCCATCGCGGACTGCTCGGCGGCGTCCTCGCGCCCCTCGTACTTCCGCTTCTCCTGCTTGAGCCGCGCGTCGATCGCCGCCTCGAGGGGGCGGCGTGCGCGCGTCACGGGCGTGCGGCGGCGAGGGCCAGCCGACGTGCGGGTGACTCGGGGTGCGGGTGGCTCGCCGCGGTGCCGTGTGGCGGAGGAGGCGGTGGGGGGGGGGGCGGGAGGCGGAGGGGGTCTCGGAGGTGTCGCCGCCACCTTTTGCTCGGCGGTCAGCTCCGGCGCCTCCGTCGGCACCGCCTGCACAGCAGCCGCGCGTCCGGTGGTTAGGGGCGGGCGGCGGCGGCGGGCGAGGGGCGGCGGCGCGCGGGCGAGGGGCGGGCGAGCGGCGGGCGAGCGGCGGCGGGCGCGCCTGGTAGTTGTCGTCAAGTCTCAGCCGCTTGCGCTGGTCCTCGAGCTTGGACTCGAGCGGCTGCTTGAGCGAGTAGACGGACCCGCCGCGCGCCTCGGCCCACTTCTCCACGTCGCCCACCACGCCCGCCGCCGGCGCCTGCTGCGGGCCCGCGGCCGCGTCCTGGCCCGACGGCCCGAGGTGCGTCGACGGGTCGGCGGCGAAGCCGTAGGCGTTAAAGGTGTGGTACTGCTCGTCGAAGGCGAAGTCGGTGGCGGGTGTCATCTTGGCGACGTGCCCGACGAACCGGTGCTTCGACTTGATCCCAGCCGCCCGCTGCGCAGTCACGTCGAGCGACGGCCCCTGCTCGGGCGCCCACATCTCCTCGTACGTCGGGTTGGCCTTCATGATCTGCTGGCCGTGCTTCCGGTCCTCGGTGATGACGGGCGCGAGCGCGAGCGCATGCGACGCCGACGATCCGCCGTAGTCGCCCACCACCGCCGGCGTGGGGTTGACGACCAGCAACGTGCTCGCTGCCGCCGCGGCTGGCTCATCGTTGTCGTCGTCCTCCTCGTACGAGCTCGCGAGCAGGCCGAGGGCGCTGGTCGCCATCTCAGTGGCCGGAGGTGTGCCGCTGTCTCCCGATTCCGCCCGTCACGTGTGAGAGGGTAGCCGCGGCGCCGCTTGTGGCTTGTGACAGCAAAAAAACCATGCTGAGGCTCTCCGAAGAAGCCGCGAGCAGGACGAGGCAGAGGAGAGCGACGCGACAGAGGAAGAAGCGACAAGGGAGAGAACGACGAGAGTGGGACGACCGCGAGGTGGCATGAAGGTTGCAGCGAGAATCGGCGAGAGACTGCGAAGGGAGATAGGAAGAGGCGGACGCCCAAGGGCGGGCGACGGCTAGCGCATCACACCCCTCTCCTTAAAATCCCTGTGTGCTGGCGGCGTGCCGTCCTCCCCATCCTTCCCTTGGGTTGTCCGTTTTGTTTCTTTCTTTTTTCCGGGAGAGGTCTGCTCTTTTATTTATTCCTTTTCAACCTTTGTGGTGGCGCGGCGTGTCGTCCTCCTATCCCTCCCACCCTGCTCCCCAATGCAGGGTTCCTTTCTTTTTTTTACCCAAGGCGTGACGCGTGGACCGCCCGGGCCCGGAGCAGCCTCGCTCCTGCGCGGCAGTCCGCCCTAGAGAGAGAGAGATTGTTTGTTGCCCTCTATGCGGGCTACGATCAAAATGGCGGCTCGATGCCGCGTGGACGCCGTCGTGGTCTCGTCACTCCTCACGCCGGCTTGGCCTTGGGCGCATCCTTGGAGACGCGATAGGCGCACACCTGGCCGAGCACGAGGGGCGGGTTGGCGGGCTGGCGGTGCTGCGATCGGTGCAGGTGATCTCAGGTGCGGCCGCTGGCGGTGTTTCGGCCAAGTTTCGGCACGGCGCACGCTAGGCTCTTGTGCGGTGGGGTGCACACCAAGATAGCGGCGCCCAGGTACCAGCCCCACCGCTGCAGCAAGCTCCGCTTGGGTTTGGACGCGTTGCCCGTTGCCGCCGCCCGCTCCGAGCGCTTCGCCGCCCAATGCACGAGCTTCGGGCGACCCTCAGCGTCGACCGTGGCGTGCGTCAGAACGAAGGCGTCATTTCCGACAACGGAGAACTGTATTGTGCCGCCCGACTTGCCCAGCCAGGTCGACTCGGACAGCCACGCCGCCCCGCCGTTCCGCTCCTCAAAGTCAAAGTCGAAGACTGGCTCTGTTTCGGCCGGGTCGGCGCCGCTCTTCCCCATGCGGAAGGAGCCTTGATGGCCGGCGCCGGCGTCAAAGTCGACGCGAACAACCATCTCGCGCAGCGTCGTCGACGGATCATCTCGGGAGGCCTCAGTGTACTTTCCGGCGAGGCCGCCACCGTCGGCCAGGTCGAGGCTGTACCGCGCGAGGAGCGGCACGCCGCCACGCGCGCCTTCGAGGTCCCAGTCGCCATGCATGAACTCGCGAAACGTCCACGCGGACGTGATGCTGGGCAGCGCGCATAGCAAAAGTGCCTCCATGACAATAACTGTGCGTGGGGACAAGTGCAAAAGAAGCCAAGCAGCGGAGGACGAGGCGAGCTGGTCGACGCGGTCGTGGCTGTCGCTGCAGGCCCAGCGCATGTCAGTCGCGCTGCAGCTCGCGGCGGCGGATGAGATTGCGACCGAGCTCAGGCTCGCCGTGGCGTCGGAGGACCCCACCGTCGCCTAGACTCCCCTGCGTAACCAAGGTGCTAACAGTCTTTCTAGCCTGGCGTTTGTGCCCCGTTTGTGCCGCGTCGCGGGGTAGGGGTCGTCTTTTGTCTTTTTTGGCTCGAACCCAGGGGGCGCCGTCGTACAACTGTGATGCTCGCTCGCTACCTGGCGCTGCGCCAAGACCTCGACCGCCACCACACGCGTCGGCGCGGTGGCGCGTCTGCCGCCGCCGCCGACGTAGACCGCAGCGGTGGCGGCAGCGGCGGCGGCGACAGCACGGTGTGTGCCTCCCGTGACTGTAAGGCGAGCGCACCAGCTCCCGGCACGGCACCGCCGCCGCCACCGGCCGCCAACGCCAAGGCTGCGCGCCAGCTGAACCGCCTGCTGAGCCAGCTCGCCAAGCGGAAGCAGCTGAGCACCTGCCGCTCCACATTCGCCGCGGGTGCCGCCGCCGGCACGGTGGACGCGTGGTCGCACGCGATCCTGATCAACGCGTACGCAAACTGCGGCGACGGTGCGAGCGCGCTCAAGGCGCTGGGCGAGATGCGAGCGTGCGGCCACCGCCCGTGCGTCTTTTCGTACACGGCTGCGCTCAAGGCGCCGTGCGGCGAGGGAAACCTCGAGGCGGCGAGTGCGTTGCTCGGCGAGATGGAGGCCGACTTTGCGGCCGCCGCGGCGGAGGAGGCCCCGGCTGGCGCGGGTCGGACGGACGGCGGCGCGGTGGGCCGCGCGAGTGGCGGAGGTGGCTCCGCCGTCGCTGGCGGCGACTTCATGCCGAGCGTGCGGACGGCAAACACGTACTTCCGCGGCTGCCTGGTGCGGGGAGGGGCGGCCGAGGCGCGCGCGCTCCTCGGCCGCTTGGGCAGGGACGGGGTGTGGCGCGCCGTCTCGCCAGACGCGTCCAGCCACGAGTACGTCGGCACGCTCTGCGCCCAGGCTCTCCACCTCGATGAGGCGGCGCGCCTGGCCGATGCGGCGGCAGAGGCGGGCGGCGGGCAGGAGGGGTGCGCCGGTGCGCGGGCGGCGGCGCGCGTGCGGCTGGCGCTCTGTCGCTCCGCGGCGCTGCTCGGCGCGTGGCGCCGGTGCCGCAGGGAGGCGGCGGCGGCGCGCCAGATGCTCGCGCTGTGCGCAGAGGAGGAGCGGGGCGGCGAGGCGGCGGCGGGGCGGGAGCGGCCGGGGGGGAGGAGCCCAAAGCAGCGGCAGGGCGGCGGCGGCGGCGGCGGCGAGGACGACGGCTTGGACCGGCACGCCACCTTCCGCCGACACCAGCGCGACGAGGCGCTCGGCGCGTCGCGCGCGCCTCCCTGCAGCAGGCGGACCGGTCGGCCCGTGCACGCCCTGTAGGCGCTTAGTGAGCTCGAGGCGCTCGAGGCCTTCGCGGCGGCGGGCGTGAGGAGTGGCGGAGAGGGGGCGGAGGCGATGCGGCTCCTGCTGCGCCGGCTCGTCCCGCTGCCGCGTGGGGATGTGCCGGCGGCCGCAGCGGCGAAGAGCGCAGAGGCGCGGTTGCTGCGCGGATTCGGACTCGCGCGCTGGTGCGGTAAGCTCGAGCGAGCGGGGGAGGGGGAGGGGGACGCGGAGCGGCGCGCGGTGCGGAGGCACATGCGGCGCACTTTCCGCCAGCCCGCCGGCTTCCCGGTTGGCGGCACGGCGCTCGCTTGCCCGCCGGCTGGCGGAGTCGGGGCGGAGAGCGGCCTCGACGTGGAGGCACTCTTTGGCGGCGGCGGCGGCGGTGAAGGCGGCGGCGGTGAAGGCGGCGGCGGGCTGCGGTTCGAGCTCGGCTGCGGGCTGGGGGAGTGGCTGGAGGCGCAGGCGAGCGGGGTGCCCGGTGTGCGCTGGCTCGGCCTCGAGCTGATGGCGAGGCGTCTGCAGCAGTCCTCCCTCCCCCCCCTGCCCCCCTCAGTCCTCCCTCCCCCCCCTGCCCCCCTCGGCCGGGACACGCACCTGACCTCCGCTCGGTGCCGACGGCTAGGCGCGCATACGCCGCCGCCGCCCGCGTCGCCCTCAGCGGGACGCCGAACGCCGCCGTGCTGATCGGCTCCGCCGCCGACGCGCTCGGGAGGTGGCTCCCGCGCGGCTCGCTCGACGCCATCTACGTGAACCATCCCGAGCCGCCCCAGCAAGCCGCCGCACCGGGGGCGGCGGACGCGGCAGACGCGGGGGCGGAGGCTGCCCCGGAGGCGGCCCACATGCTCGACGCGCCCACTCTCGCCGCTGCGGCGGCGGCGCTGCGTCCGGGGGGCACGCTGACCGTGGTGACGGACAACGCTTGGTACGCCGAGCTCCTGCTCGGCCTCCTCTCCTCGCACGGCGGGTTTGGCCCGCCGCCAGACAGCCACCCTCCGCGCGACGCGACGCTCGTCACGTCGGCCGCCGGCGCGGCGGGCGCGATCCACGTCTACGCCGCCGCGCCCGGCCGCTGGTGCCGCCACGAGGCGGAGGGCGCTTCCTCTTACTTTGACCGGATGTGGCGGACGGGCCTCTCGCTCCACTCGTCCGCCGAGCAGCGCTATGTCCTGCACGTGGCAGCGGCCCGCCCGGTGGCCCACCCGGAGGGGGGCCTCCCCCACGCGCGGCCCCTCGAGGGGAGAGCGGCCGGGGGGGGCGCCACGCTGGCGAATGCGGCGGCACCGCCGGCGCGAAAGGGGAAGAAGCGCCGTCGTGCGGACACGGTTTGAGAGGGGCGGGGCGCACATAGTGTTTGCGGGCGGGGAGATGGGGGTCCGCGGTCTCTGTGGGATGTGCTATCCGTATCCACGGCCGCTCCGGGCTCCGCGCACCGCGGCGCGCGGGCACTCTGCCGGGGACTCTATCTGATAGTTCCTCTGGAGACTCTCGCAAAAATTCGCGGGGAAACCCCCACCGGTGTCGGACCGCTCACCGCGCGCGGGGCCCGGGGGTGCGCCGGGGGCCGGGGCGCGCGCGGCCGCGGGGGCGGGGCGGGCCGCCAACTCACCGCACCTAGAAAATAAACGCACAACACGCCGCACAGCGTTCTGCACGCACAACACGCACACGAGCTACTGCGCACACTCTTCACTTCTCGGCGCTATACAACGCGTGGTCTACACGTGAGACGTGAGACTCAACGCCCGCGCTGTCCACGCGCTACACACACGGCTCAGTCAGCCGGGGGGGGGGGGGGGGGGGCGTACACGACACACGACGATCCACTTTCATCTTTCTCTCTCTCTCAGTAATACCCTCCGCGCGCAAGCACCAGCGATACCCCAGCTCAAAGGCCGACGCGAGCGCCGTGATCGCCAGCGCACGAGCGCAGGGGCGTAGCAGGTAGGCGAGTTTGGGGGGAGGGGTACCCGGGACGTCGAAACCGCCGCACGCCACGCATCTCGCCAAGACTTGGTTTCCTTAGACCATCGGCATCGGGCTGGGCGCCGCCGCCGTCGACACCTCGGCGGCCTGCGGGTGCACCGGCGAGGGAAGGGTGTCTCAGCGGAGCAGTCGCGAGCGCTAAGACGGTGCGCTAGTTCGCCTTGTTGCGGCGGCCAATCGCGAGAGCCGCTGCGGCGAGGCCGAGGGCGGCGAGGCCCATCACGGCCGCGGGCGGGACGGTGGAGGGGCGCTTGGCGCCGGCCGCCGCCTGTGGGTAGGGGGCGGTGGGGTGCTTGAGTGAGGTGGAGGTGTGTGATGCGGTGCGGGTCTGGGAGAGGGCGGGGAGGAGGAGGGAGCCAGGGGCCAATCGTGCGGCGCGCGCGAGCTCCGCGCCTGGCGGAGCTTCTGGCCCTGGGAGGAGGCGGCGCTTCCCATGGTCATGAACTTGTTGCCCGCGCCCTGGCTCAGCTGCATGTACGTGTCCTCTGCAGACCGGGAAGGGTTTGGGGCATCCAAGGGGGGTTGTCGCATGACGGGAGTCTCTCAGAACAGAGTGGCTCCACAGGGGCTCGGGGACCGGGGGGGGCAAAGTGGGGGGTGGGGTGGTGGTGGTGGGTGGGGGGGGGGGTCTCACGGGTCGCTTTGTTGTCGCCCTTGCCACTGCCGTAGTCGGACGCGGTCTGAGAACCTGTGGGTCGAGGGGGGGGAGGAGGCCGGGGGGGGGGGTGTGGGGGGGGGGGGGGTACCCGTGTGTTCTTTGCCCCCTGGGAGCATCTCCGACCCCCCCTGTGCAGGCTTCCGAGTCAGACTGTCTCTCAAGCGGGGCACCGGCCATGGCGAAGCCCATGCCGGTCTGGATGCCCGTGTTCATGAAGTCCTGCCAGGTGGGTGCCGGCGCCGCAGCCTGCTTCTCCATCGGCATCTCGCCGTCCGGCATCTCGCCGCCGCCGCCGCCACCAGCCGTGCCCTCCACCGCCTGGGCGCTCTGCTGGATGGTGCCCGTGATTTGCTGAAAGTTCTTGGCCACGTCGCCGGTGAGGGTGCCGCCCGTGCGGAAGCCCGTGTCGAGCCCTGTGGTGTGCGTGTGCGGCAGGCACGGCGGGGCGGTGTGAGGGTCTCGACAGCGGCCTCAGGGCGGGAGGGGGAGGAGACTCAGCGCACCCTCGTTGACGAACTCGGTCGACACCTCCTCCGCGTCCCCTTCGCCGGCGGAAAACTTGTCGTAGTGCTTCTTGGCCAGGTTTGCGTTGTTCAGGCCCGTGAGCGCCGCCGCCTTGAGCCAGTCCTCCTGAGGTGCCAAGGCGGAGCGAGGGTTAGAGAGTGTGCGACGGGAGCGCGCGGCGCGGGCGCGGGCGAGGCGCCTGCGTCCCCATGCGGGGCTCCGATGACGTGATGTAGGCGGAGGTGTCGAAGTAAGGTGCCGGGTCGCCCTCGTCCTGGTTGAAGGCCGAGGCGGCGCCGCCGTTGCCCGGGTTGGACATGAGGTTCATGCCGAGAGACTTGCCGTACGAGCCGTGGCTGCCCGGCTCGAGACCCATGGAGGAGGAGGGGGCCTGAGCCGCGGAGAAGAGGGACAGGACCAACATCGAGGCGCTTGCTCCCTGATCGAATCACTGGCAAAATGCGCCGCTTTTTGACGCCGAAAAAGGGCCTCCTTGTTCACAGCCTTGTTTTGAGAAGAAATTCATTCACATAAACGCACAACCCCGGGCCCCATGTTCACACCTCCGTCGGGGTTCTCCAGGTGGATATCCTTTGGCCGCGTTGCGTTGCTGCGGGTAGCGAGGAATTGGTGTGACGCGATCCACGCAGGCGTGTAGTTCACGGGTTTCGCGGGAGTGACCCCATGCGTCACACCGGTTATGAGAAGATAATTGCGTTGCGCGCTGGTCTCATCTATGAGACTGCAAAGAGAGATTCATAGGAAGAGGCAGACGCCCAAGGGTGGGCGACGGCTAGCACCACGGACTCCTCTCCTTAAAATCCCTGTGTGGTGGCGGCGTCCGCTGACCCGTCCCATTCCTCCCTTTGTTGTCTGTTTTGTTTCTTTCTTTCTTTGGTCTAAGAGGTTGAGGTGCGAGCCCTGGAGGCCCTGGGGATGGGGGGAGACTACCCGCAGGCCTAGGTTCACACGGCTTCTCCAGCTCCCCTGCCTGCTCCCCTTTTCGCTCCTCGAGAGTTTCGCTCTTTTGTTCCCCTTGTTATGGTTTATGCCGAAGTCGCCCTAACCAACCCACAGACTCAAAAGACAAGGTGGCAGGTCCTCCGAAGTCTCTGACTCGCCTCCCTCTACATAGAATGGGCTGTCGGCTGCACGCGGGCTGTCAGCTGTCATCTGCTCTCACGGGCAGCCTCTTGTAGGGTGGTGGTCGTGCACCGGCGTGTCCATCACGCCCGCGCCTCGCCGCGCCGTCCCCACACCGCGTCGACGAGAGCAGCCAGCCGGAGCGTGTCTTGGTCGGTGACGAGGTCGCGGTTGATCGTCCTCGCGGGGTGGTCGTCGTGCAGGAGCGAGACCGCGGCCTCCTCCAGCGTACCGGCCATGGCGAGCGTGGTCACCGTCACGGGCCGCGTCTGGCCCATGCGATGGCACCGCCCGATTGCCTGCTTGCGCACCGACGTCTCGAGGCAAGGCGCAGCAAACACCACGTGGTTGGCGCAAGAGAGATTTAGTCCGACCGCGCCGGCGCGCAGCGTGAGGACGAGGCAGTCGATGCCCCCGCCGGCCGCCGGCTTCTCGAGCGCCCGCACCGCCGCCTCCCGCTTCGAGCGCTTGGTGTTCGCGTTGAGATCCATCGCCTTCAGCATGTCGGCGGCGCGCGGCGCGCGCGGAGTGGCGCGGATGGTGGCCAGCACGTCATCAACGAGGAGGTTGTGGTCGACAAATACGATGCACCTACAGCAATGGAGGCAAGCCCTGGCTCAATCACGTCACGCCGAGGACGTTGTGTACACATAAACGAGACGCACTTCTCGTTGCGCGCCGCCACATCAGCAACGACAGCCGCCACCGCCCCCAGCTTGCTAGCGGCGCCGCTCGACGACTCCCCCGGGGTCTCAGCGCTTTCATCGGCGACGGCGGTGGTAAGGCTGCCTCCGGCAGCACCCCCCGCAAGCGCCGCAGCCGGTGCCTCCGGTGACTCCGTCTCAGCCCGCTCCAACCCAGCCGCCGCCGCCTCTGCCGCCGCCGCCTCTGCCGCCGCTGCCTCTGCCGCCGCCGCCTCTGCTGCCGCCGCCTCTGCTGCCGCCGCCTCTGCTGCCGCCGCCTCTGCCGCCGCTGCCTCTGCCGCCGCCGCTGCCTCTGCCGCCGCCGCCTCTGCTGCCGCCATCATGCTTGCCTCTGCCCGACGGCGCAACTCCGCAAACGACCAAGCCGGGCGAGGGAAGACCAGCGCTTGTGGTGGCGGCGTCAGGGGCGCGGGCGGCGCGGCGACATCAGCTGCGGTGGCAGCAGGCGCCGCCGCTGCCACTGCCGCTGGTGCTGTCAGCTCAACCTCAGCCACTGGCGCTTCCCCAACTGCAGCTGCCTGCGCTAGCGCTGCGGAGGATCGCTCGAGCGCGACCCGTGCCGCAGCAGCCTTTGAGGCCACGCGGCGCGCCTTGCGCTCTCGCACTGCAGCGGCGGCGACGAACTCGCGCACGATTGGGCGCCAGCGCTGCCCCGGCGCGTGCTCCACGACGTCGGCTCGCACGTCGAGAAGCTCGTCGACGGCGAAGCGGCGGCCGCAGCCCCGCACAGGGCAGGGGCAGGTGCGGTGCTGCTGGTAGTAGCGGCCAGCTGTCACTTTGGCGCGCGCGCCCTGCTCTGCAAACACGTGCTTGTCGTCGAGCTCCTTTGCTGCGCTCGTCTCGAGCTCAAACGAAGCGAGATGCAGATAGGCCCAGCATTGGCCAAGGGCGCCGGTCCCGGTGGCCGCAGCCTCGCCCTCCGCGCGGGCCTCGCCCTGCATAAACGCGTGCACCTCGACGCGGATGTCGGCGCGAGGCACATGCCCTTGCAGCGCCGCGTGCACCGTGTCTATGAGCGTCTCCTTCGCGCGCGCCTTTGCGGCCCTCGCAGCGTGGATGTCGCGGGAGGTGCAGCCGGGAGGAAAGGCGCTGTGGCCGGAGATCCTGACGCCCTGCCCCATGCGCGGCGTGAGGTCGCCCGCCGCCACCAGCTCCTCGGCACAGCCGAGGCACATGAGGTGACCGCAGCTGCTTGGAGCGGCGGGGCGGCTGATCCTGCCAAAGCAGACGGCACAGGAGAGCTCCGCCGAGAGCCCCTCGACGTTGAAGGAGCTCTGCCACTCGGAGAGCAGCTCTTCCGGCACAATCTTTGCGCTGGCGGTGAAGTCGTCACGACCGGGAAGGAGTGGCACGACCCGCCGCGCCACCTTGGCGAGGTTTGAGGCGGAAGAAAGCGCGAGGCCGGCCTCGCGGGCCTTTGCCGCCTTTGCCCCCGTCGCGCCGTGCAGGCCCGCGCACACCTCGAGCATCGGCCGCAGAGAGTGCGCGTGCGCATGCAGCCTCGCATCGACGGCCGCCCCCTCGTCGCGCGCGGCGGCATAGAGCTCGCGCTCGGCCTCGGTCGGAGCGACGAGGACGAGGGCATGCGAGAGAGGCTTGAGCGAGAGCAGCGCGGTGCCATTGCGCCTCTGCCCCTGCGTGTGACGCACGAGGAGCGGCTTGAGCAGCGACACGATCGCCTCGGCCGAGTCGTTGACCATCGCCTGGTACCTCCCACCGCCGTCGAGCTCGTTGCGGAAGTGGAGCGCGGGCAGCACGCCCACCGTCCCCGCACGGCCAGTGTCGTCGTGGCCGATCAGGCCGAGAAAGACGAGCTGTCCAAAGACATCGAAGAACGAGTTTGTGAATGGCGTGCCCGTCAGGCACCAGCGCCGGCCAGCCTGGATGCGCGCGCACGACCCCACCTCTGCCGCTGCATCGATGCGCCCCGCGCGAGGCCGTGCGGTGAGCACTTGGTGAGGCTCATCGCACACCACACGCCACCACTCGTGCTGCAGCCCGGCCACCTCGCCCGCCTCCGAGTATGCGGCGAGCACGACGCGCGCAATCTCGCGCCGCCCACCCGACTCGCTCGCCGTGGGCCTGCCGCCGCCAGAGGCCCTGAAGGCGGCCCACTCGATGCAGCCCAGCCCCGGCGCCTTGAGCGCCACCTCCAACTTCCACTGCCCCACCAGCACCTTTGGCACGATCACGAGCGTCTCGGGCCGCCGGCGAGCGCCGCCGGCGCCCCACGCCGCTGGAGCCGGGTTGGAGAGGATTAGGGCGAGCGTCTCAACCGTCTTGCCCATCCCCATCTCTTCAGCGAGGATGCCACCGCGGTGGCGCAGCGGCGGCGAGTCGGAGAAGGTGACGCCACCTCCCGGCAGCTGCGTCACGACCACGCCGCTGCCCAGCTGCGTCTGCAGCAGGTCCTCGAGGCCGTATGCGGAGCGCTCGCGCGCGAGCATGATGGAGAGAGACTCGCTCTGGTACTCGGAGAGGGCGAGGCCGTCAGGAAGTCCGATGGGGGGCGAAGCGACAGGCGCGGCGGTCCCCTCTGTCTCCAGCGCGTCGAGCATGCCTCGCAGCGAACGGAGGGAGGCGCGGCCATTCCTCTCTGCTCGAGGAGGCAGGTGGATGCCTCGCGACGCCTTGGCCAACGCGGCAGCCGTCGGCAGCCCCGCGTGCTTGCGCGCCTCGAGGCAAGCGGCGACGACACCCTCCGCGCCTTGGCGTCCGACGCGCATATCGCCGGATGCTAGGATTGAGCGAGAGAGGGTCGCCTCGACACGGAGAAGGACGGCGTCGGAGCGGCGGCCGCTGCTCTCGATGACCGGCCGCATCTCCACCCGCAGGATGAGGCTCGCGGGCATGCGGGCGAGGGCGCCGGCAGCAAGGCGGAGGCGTGGCAGCCGCGGCACGTACCGAGAGGCAAACGTGTCACGGTCAACGAGTCTGCCTTGCGCTGGGAGGGTCTCCGCCTTGCCCTCGTCAATCTCCTCTGCTGTCAGCGGGAGCTCCTCCTCGAGGGTGACGGCGCCGCCCGCCGCCGTTGGCACCACCACAGTACAGCCGGCGGGAAATCCGGCAGCGTCGGGGAAGACAGAGAGCTCGAAGGCGGCCTCCGCCTGGAACCGCTGCTCGCTCTCGGAGGCAACGTCTGGGTCGTCGTAGTCATCTTCTTCATGCGCACCTGGACTCTCGGGTACGCCGATCCGCCGCCTCTTGGCTGGGGGGGCGTTTGTTGGCTGTGTGTGAGGCGACTCGGCGCCATCCTCCACAACGATGGCGTTCTGCGCCGCGAGCCGCTGCCGCTCGGCAGCGGTGATGACCTCGGTGATCACGACGTCCCCGTCCTCGAGGTGCTCCGGCGTCTGCATGCACCAGGGGTGCTCACAGAGGTGAGCCGGCTGACTGCAGAGCGAGCGTGACGGCTGAACGAGGACAATGCACGTTGGTATGGCCGCGCTCCGAAAAGCGGGATATCCGACTCGATATCCGTGCGCGGGAGAATTCGGAGCTTTTTCTTTATTTTGCTTCCATCTGCAGGCCAGTGCGTGCGTGGTGTGATGAAGCCCCCCGGGGAGGGGGGAGGGGGCTCGCAACTTACTGCGGCAGCGCGTGATAGGACGATTTCCGGACGATACGGCTTGGCTGGCTGGCAGGCATGACCGACGTCGAGCGCCGGCTGTCCCTCGTGGACGAGCCACCCGATGTCCTCGCCGAACGCGAGCAATGGCTCGCCGACCGCCTCGCCTGGCTGCAGGAGGGCGGCGCTCGTGGCGCAGACGGCCGGCTGGTGACTCCGCTCAAAGGGGCGGCAAAGGCCATCAAGATGGCATCGGAGACAGCGCGGCGGGTGGCGAAAGCGTACGAGGACGAGTGCCGACGACGAGAGGAGTCTGCACGGGTGCACAAGGTAAGGCGGTCAAGCAGCCTCCCCGAAAGAGGAACATCCTCATCCATGCACGCGGCAACAAACACGCAACACACAGCGAGAACATGATCCTCCACGAGCGACGACCGTGGTGGTGTGTGTGAGGGTCTCGAATTTCTCGCTGTCGAGAGAGGAGTAGATAGCCGCGGGTGTACTAGAGTACGCGTAACGCGAAAGACGACAGACGCGGAGGCGCTCCGATTCCGGGGTATGGCCCTCCCTCTCGCGCCTCGGCAACCCGCGAGGGCCGGTCAGGAGTGTGTACTGTCGAAATCGACGGCGCAGAGACACTCAAGACGGTGTCTGGCAGCCTCCGCAGGCGGAGTTTCGAGAGACGAGCAGAGACTCACAGCCGCCGCCCGCTGCCTCCTCATGGTCTCCCCTCCGAGAGCGACTCGCGCGGCGCGGCGGCGGTCTGCGGCTTTGGCGCGAGCGCGAGTCCTGCCGCGAGAGCGGGCGTGGGGGCGTCCAGGTCGCGCGCGCGAGCGCGTCCGCGTGTTGTCTTTTCGATGGGGGAGTGGAGGTGTGTGTGCATGGCGTCTCGACTCGGAGGTGTGCGGGTGTGCGCGGTTCGGGTGGGGTGGGGGCTCTTGCACCGTAAAAGATGACGATCAGCGAAGGGATGGCGATGAGAGCGCTGGCGGCAGGCAGCAGCAAATTGACGTCCTCGCCGCGCGCCTCAGCGAGCAGCGCCTGCGGGAGGGGGGCGGGCGGGGCAGTGTGCAACGTTAGAGGGTCGGGCGCCCCCTCCCCCTCCTCCCCCTCCTCCTCCCTCCCCCCCCCTGCAAGGCCCCGCTGCTCGCACGCACCGAGACGAGGCTGCCGGTGGAGGCGACGGCGGTGACGGCGAAGGAGCCGACGAGGGCGGGGAAGAGCACACTCGTGCTGAGCCCCGACCCGACGAGCAACCGCTCCCACGCCGTGTAGAAGGTCGGCAGGAAGAGGATCGCCCGCAAGTTGTCGAGCTGGGCGTTGACCAGCGACTTGATGCCTACAGCGGCTTGCGGCGAACCTTCCGAGCACCTTCCCGAGAGAGGGCGGCGGCGAGCGAGCCAAGCGCCTATGCTTCACGGCCCGACCTGGCGAGCTAGCGCGTCTCTCGCACCGGCGCAGACGAGCCGACTCGGCGTCCGCTGCGCGGTGGAAGGGCATTGGCTAGATCTCGGCTAGATCTCGGCTAGATCTCGGCTAGATCTCGGCTAGATCTCCGGCTAGATCTCGCCCGCTGCGCGGTGGAAGGGCATCGGCGAGGCGGCATAGCGGCTCTCTGGGAAGAGGCGCGCCTGCAGACGGGCGGGCGGGCGGGCGGGCGGGCGGGCGGGCGGGCGGGCGGGGGGGGGGGGGGGGGGGGAATAAAAAAAGCTTCCCCCCCCCGAAACCGTTGCCGCGGGGGGGGGGGCGCCCTCCCCTTGGGGAAGGGGCCCCCCCGCGAATAGCCCGCCGTAAAGGAAAATATTGCCCCCCCCGCTTGGAAAAAGGGCTTTAAGGGAGGGCTGGCACAGAGGCGTAGTGTGAGGGGCCCCTTCTCTCTCCCGCCCGTCCTCCTCCTCTCATTCCCTCCTCCTCCCTGTACTTTCCCTGTAGCTGCCCTCCGTCTCTAGCTCCCCCTCCCTCCTCCGTCACCGTGCCCTCACCGTGCCGCGCGTGCTCCGCCAGCAGCGCGTCGAGGCCGGAGCGAGTCACGAGGTAGGCGGTGGTACCGAGCACGGAGTCGGGCGTGCACAGCAGCCGCACGATCCGCTCCCTCGCGCCGCTCGTTCGCTCCACCTGCAGGGAGGCTCCGAGAAGGGCTGCACGAGGCTCCTCACCGTCGCCTTGGCGGTGGCGGCTCGCTGCACCCGCAGCCCCGGCACGTACATGATGTAGGCCAGGTGCACCATGTCGCGAGGGCCTTGGCGGCGGGGGGGGGGGCGGCGGTGAGCGGCGGGGAGGGATGCAGCGCAGTGAGACGCAGCGAGACCGCGGCTCACCGGCAGCGGGGTCCGTGACGTACTCGCGGACTGCGGCGAGCGTGTCGCTCGAGAGGCGCGGCGAGACGTCGATGTTGTCCTCGAGCACGAGGATATTGCACTCCCGCTTCCCCTCCACCCGCCGCTGCGCCTCCTGCAGCACCGAGATGTGGCTCGAGTAGCAGCCGCGGATTCGGTCAGCGTCGTCGCGCTCAAAGCTGCGAACCTCGACCAGGTCTCCCAGCCCGACCTGGCGCAGCAGCGGCAGTACGCGGTCTAGCCTCGGGTTGCTCCCGTCGTCGTCAGGGCACGTGATCAGGTATGCTGCGTCCAAGAAGCTCCAGTCTGCCGCCGCCTCCTCCATCGCCGCAGCGCGGTGCCTCGCCACGCACGCCCGAGCCGCATGCGGTAGCAGTCGAGGGCGGCCAAAGGAGGCGGCCGCCGCGATGGCGGTTAAGGCGATCATTATGCGCCAAATTCAGCTCGCGCGATGGAATTCAGCTCACGCGATGGCGTCCTCCGATGGTGGCGAGCTGCCCCTTGCCCATCCTGGGCGCGTTAATTTTTTTGCCGGTGTATAATTTTTTTCCGCGGCGGGATTTGGGAGGATATGGCGGGACATGGCGGTATACTGGGAGATGCCGGAGATACCGGGAGATACGGGGAGATAAGAAATACGGGCAGATTACTCCGCTACGCTCCGGCCCGGAATTTGGAGGGCCTGACCGCCCCGCCCCGGCAGGCGCGCGTTTGAGCGATGCGCCTGTTGATAGGTCCAGATGATAGCCCTGGATGGGCAATGCATACCCGTCAGTTAATCATGTTGACGCAGGGATCGTGTCCCTCACAACCTGCCTGCACAGACTTAAGGCCACAACAGACTCAGAGCGGTGGTTGAGGCGAGCCTAACTGCGCTCGGCATCCGCTCGTAGACGGTGCCCTTGAAAGCGGTGCCGAGGAGCTCCTCGTAGTTGACGCACGGCGCGTGGCGGCAGCGGGCGCTGATCTTGCAGGGGAGGCCGGTCTGGTTGAAGGTCGTGCAGAAGCCCAGCCCGTCGCGCGCCGCGATCGCCTTGACCTTGCCCGCCGCGCGCGCGACCTCGACCTTGTTGTCGGCGAGGAGAGTCTGGAAGCCCCTCTTCTTGGCGACGCCGGCCGCTGCAGCGCGCCGAGCCTTGAGAGCCTGCGCCTCGCACAGCGTGCCGTGGACGATGTCGGCGTTGGTCGACCCGAACGCGCGGCAGGAGGGGCAGAGCTTGTTGCCGAGGATCTTGACGCACCCCACGTCGAGGCGCAGGGGTCCGCCGACATCGCCGCTCGCGAAAACGTTGCGCAGGAGCGGGAGGTCGCTGACGAGGTTCTCGTTCTTGACCTTGAACAGGAGGGAGCCGTCCTTCTCGTCCGACTTGATGCCGAGGAAGGAGTGATATCCCTCTTGGACGGAGACGACGTTGCCGAAGTGCTTCTCGAGCAGAGGAGTGAAGTGCTCGATCTGGGCGGCCGTGTTGATGGCGCCGCGCGTGGCTGCGGATGGCGAGGAGGCCGTCGGACTCTGTCGCCGCCTTGAGCTCGCGCGCCTCCGCCTGCCTGCCCCACTCGGAGGCGTCGAGAGCGACGAAGTGGATGGTGATGTCATCCGGAGCTGGGAGCTGTATGGCGCCACCGCCGGCGTGGTGCTCGAGGAAGGCTCGTGCCTCGCTCTCGCCGCTGAAGGCGACGCAGACGGCCCGCGACGTGCCGATGATGGGCACGCTGATCGCGCTCGCCGGCTGCGCCTCGCAGCCTGGTGTCTTCTCGACAAGTTGGCGTATCTCGGTGACGAGCGCCGTCTTGTTTTTGATGTCAGGGATGTGCGTGCCGTCGCGCGCCGCGAGCGCGACGTGCAGCAGGCGCTTCGTCGTGCTGTCGGTGCCGGCGGCCGCCGCAGCGGCCATGTGCGTGGCGTCCACCATAATGGTGTCGCCTCCTTTGGCGTCGTCGACGCCGACGCGCGCGCTCGCGAGCTCGCCGTCGAGTCGGCGCTTGACGCCGGGTCTCTGGCCATCATCGGCCGCTGCGCGCGGCCGCGCGCCGCGCCCTCGGCAGCGGCAGCGTTGTGCGCCGGCGGCGGCAGGCCGTCCGAGGCGAACGCCATTCGAATGAAGCGCTGTTCAAGAGTTTTAGTTGCCCAACCATTCATACAGCATCCGCGCACGGTTTCTTTTTGGGTCACTGACGTTTCCCGGGAGCCAGACCCCAGGCTGTGGCCGAACCACACAATACGTCGCCCTCGCCGCCGCCACCGTCGGCCCCGCCCTCGTCGCCGCCGTCGGCTTCGCCCTCACCGCCGCCACCGTCGGCCTCGACACGTATATGTCATGCGATATTCCTCCATGATCCGGCGCCTGTGCACCCGCCCGAGGCACCGCCTGCTGAGCCGGCGGCCGGCTCACCTCGAGTCTCTCGAGTGCGAGACGCTGAGCCTGGGTGTGGATGGCGAGGCGCACAGGCTTGATCTGTTCGTGGTGGGCGTTAATTCTGGCATCCGCTGCTTCGAAAACCACTGCCCGCATGCAGGCGGTCCGCTCAACTTGTTTCCTGACACCTTTCTCGCTCCCAACAGCGAGCACCTGATCTGCACTCGGCACGCGGCGCTCTTCCGGCTCGATGACGGCATGTGTGTGCAAGGGCCTTGTGCTGGCAAGGCGCTCGCGAGGGTTGACGTTTGCGTGGACGCAGACGGGTCGGTGACCGTCAGCGAGGAGGCGCTAGAGCAGCTCTGCCGGCGGAACGCGCCCACTGGAAGGCCTCGCCGACCCGCTCGTCGCAGGCGGGAGACCGGCTGACCCATTCCTCTCAGGACTCAGCCGGACTGTGCGGCCTCGACCGCGTGTGTGTTTGCGTTTTCGTTATTACGAGGCCGCAGCGCACTCGCTTGGGCACTGCCGGTGCCGCGCCCCGCGAATTTACAATGCATGCTCCCTCCCGCTCTCACATCTCTAGGCCCCCTCCAGATCCTCGCTCCTCGTCGCGAGCGCGCCCTCAAGCAGCCGCTGCAGCTCAACGTGCACGCCGGGAGCGCTTCCGAGCACCGCGCGCGTGCGAAGGCGATACGGCGAGCCGTCCATGTCGCTGACGCACCCGCCCGCCTCCTCGACGAGCAGCGTGCCCGCCGCCGAGTCCCAGGGCGCCAGCTCGGGCTCCCAGTAGGCATCGAGCCGCCCGCACGCCACCCACGCAAAGTTGAGCACGCCCGACCCCAGGATGCGGACCGAGCGGGCGACGGGCATCACCGCCTCGATGGACCGCAGCGCCGGCCGCATCGCCGCCGGGTTGTGGGGCGCGCAGGCGCAGAGGACAGCCTCGCTCAGGGAGGCTGAGCCGCTCGCCCGCATCGGCGCACCGTTGAGGGTGGCGCCCTCGCCTCTCCACGCGCTGAAGAGCTCGTCGCGGAACGGATCGTAGACCACGCCCGCGAGCCGCTCGCCGCGCCGCGTGAGACCGACCGACACCGCGCAGAGGGGCAGTCCGGCGACAAAATTGGTCGTGCCGTCGACCGGATCGATGATCCAAAGATACTCGGAGGCGGCGCTGCTCACTCGCAGCGCGTCCATCGCCGCCTCAATGCCGGGTGCAACGCTCTCCTCGCCCAAGAGCGCGTGCGTCGGGTAGCGCTCCCGGATGTGCCGCTCGACGATCTCCTGGCACTCGGCATCTACGGCAGTGACGAGGTCGGCGCTGTCCAGTTTGGTTGCCTCGACACACGCTCCGAGCCTCGAGATCATGTGCCGGCCGGCGGCGCGTGCGGCAGTCTGAGCGAGGAGCAGCATCGGCTCTTGCAGCGCCGTAGCGAGTAGCACCACCATGTCCAGGGGTCGAAGAATTCTTTTTTTCTCGAGTAGTAGTGGGTTATAGTGGGTTATGGGCTCCGACTACGCGTTCAGCACGCCCGACGCCCTCACGTACGCCCAAGCGGCGGCCATGCCGGCGCAGTGGTCCTCGGTACCCGGCCTCGACGACGCGGCGCGCGCCGCGCTGATTGAGAGCCCCCTCCCCTCCTGCACAACAGGAATCTTGACAATTAACCGATGGGCTTGCCCATCCCGGAGTGGTTCGACTCCACATAAATCCGAGACGGTGACGGGATGCTGTCGTACGATGGTCTCAGGCCCAGTGAGGTAGTGCATCTGACTATCCCGGATCCTGCTGAACAAGCTCCTCTTGTAGCTCGATCGGTCACACCGCCATCGCCGTCGGGGAGAGGGGGGACGACACTGCTTCGGCAGCGTGCACCTCGATCCTGCACCGTGTTTGTTATGACCCCCCCCAATGAACACACCAGTGAGGGAGGGCGAGACGATCGAGGGGTCCCGTACCATGCGGAACCGACCCTATCCAGTGCTCAAGTGCTCAAGTTTGTTGTAGAGGCTCTACAGCCAAACCGCCGGGAAGGCAGTGACTCAAAGAGATCGAGCCGCGCTAATGGGGTGTCTCCGAGCTTACTGGAGCTCTGATGGACAGCCCTGACTATCCCTGACACACAGAGAGTCACTCTGACGGCACACAACACCCTATGACTGCGTCATGACCAGCCTGCCAGGCGTCGCCGGTGCCGCATTCGTCGCTGTGCTTCTTTAGCAGGCGGTGGACTGTCGGCTGCGAGGACGGTCGCATTTGCGCGAGGCGAGGCGAGCATTCAGACGCGTTGCATGCGCCATGACTCGTCGCGTGCGGGAGCTCCTGGCTGAGCGTTGAGTCCAGGCGAGTTGCGCTGGCCACTATCGCTACGCCGAGCCGAGCTGACGCGCCGAGGCGCCGGCCAGTCGCAGCCGTGAGGCATGCCACAGCAGCAGAGGCACCTGCCACCCATTGGGCGGGCAGACAGAAGGCCAGGGCAGCACTGGCAAGTGCAACGCGCCTCATGTCGGAGAGCGACCGTGCCTCGTTCGCCGCGTATGATGTAGAGCTCTAGAGTTTGTTGTACGTACTTTTAGCTTACTGGGAGTCTTGTTGTACGTACTTGTTGTAGAGATTTCACGTTGTAGAGCGCCTCTACATCGCTCTACAGGCGACTCACATCGTCACGCGGCGGGTGTAGAGCTCTACAGCTCTACAGCGCTCTACAGCGCTCTACATCTCTACAGCTCTACAGCGCTCTACACTCTACACCCTCTACATACACCCTCCCTCCCTCAGATTGCACTGTGATTGCGTTTTCTGTGACACTTGTGATTGCTCCCGCCGCGAGATTTATTCTCCCCCGAAGCGGAAATCCAGCCCTGGAATTCTTTCCCCGAGAAAAGAATCCACACTCACACTCCAGGGGTAGGGGATCCCGTCATACTGCTGTGAATACGTCCCGAACCATTACTGTGACCTGGTAGCATATGTGTGGAGCATCTACAGTACGCAGTCGCAGGGGCCTGGTCCTGCTTGCCGTCGCTTTGTACAAGCTCTGGCCGCGCTCAAGCGGCTCGTCAACGGGTACAGTGTGTCGCCGGCGAAGCTAATCATGGTTCATGGATGACGACGACCAGGAGTGTGGACATGGAGGAGCTCTCGTGTTCCGACCCAATCCTGAGCGTCTCGAGCTCAGCCACTCGGACGGCGAGGGGAGTGATTAGACGGGGAGAGGGCGCTTGGTGTCTCTAGTATTTCGAGATACTAATTTATTCACAGCTGCGGCGAGCGTGTGCGGAGTGACCCTCGAGCCAACCCGACCGGGACCGGCATGTTGTGCGAGTATCTAAAGATCGCTCCGATTGGAAACTCTGAGCTCCCTCCGCGTACGCTACGCTCCATTCGGAGAGAGCCCCAGAGTCTTACCGCGCTCCGGATCCTCTTTAGCCCATCTCTGAGAGTTTGAGTGACTGGCTAGAGACGACGGACGACGAACATTTCATGTTAAACAAACTTCAGTTTGTGCTAGTGAACTGGAGGAGAAGCGGGTCGAGCCTCGGTGTAGGAGGGCGGGAACCCTTACCCCGCGCCCGCCGCAGCCCGCCGCTTTGTGCGCGGGACCTCCGCGGCGACGAGGCTCCTGACACAGCTCCCGACTATAGCGTCGGCTCCTGCTCAGACAGGCGCCAATCGACCAGTTCTCAAAAGCGACCCACCACCATCCCTCACATCTACCGCCCGATCGAATCGCACTCGTCTCTTGCGAGTTCCTCACGCTCCAAGAGGTTCCAGAGAACGGGGAAACTCTGAGCTCCCTCCGCGCACGCTACGCTCCCTTCGGAGAGAGCCCCAGAGTCTTACTGACCGCGCTCCGGATCCTCTTTAGCCCATCTCTGAGAGTTTGAGTGACTGGCTAGAGACGACGACGATACAGTTCACAACCCGCTCTCCCTTTTGTCCCAGTAAGCTAAAAGTACGTATACAGTTCATCCCATAAGGGCGCCTAAATGCAGGCGTCTTCTTCGCTGTTTATTCACAGCACGCCCTAGTTCCCTGGGGTCGCCTCGTGAATAAACGAGTATAAAGAGCGGTGGCCTAAATGTCGTACGTACTTATAGCTTACTGGGAGAAAAGAGAGAGGGGGGTTGTGTTCTCTAGGCCCCTAAGGGCCCTACGCGCGGCGTGAGAGCTCGGAAGCGAGCTTTGCACGGCGATCGAGGATGGCACGGTTTACCCCCTTCACCGAAGCGATGGAGATGCGTTCCGCGTGGTGTGACACAAATGAGAGGCGGGAGTGGGGAGGGTACGCGGTGCGGTCAACGCCCGAGCGTTGAGCCTTGCGCGCAAGGCGGTTGATCTTTGCAACTGCTGGCGGCGAGAAGCCGCCGCCGAATGTCTCGTGGAGAAGCAGGTTGAACTTGTTGCGTTTGGTGAAGATCCCATCATGGTAGTGGCCACGCTGTGACTTGACGTAGCCTTGGCCGGTGGTGTGGTCGAACGCCCGTTGACCACGGAACCCGCGTTGCTTGCAGCCCATGTTTGCAAGGCGGGCGCGCTCTTCGGTGTTGCCGAAGGCGAACTTGTCTCCAACGGAGCCGGGGTTGCCTCCGGTGACGGCGCGGCCGACCCCAACGGGCAAGCCACTCCGGAGGGGGGTCCAAAGTTTGACCTCACTGATCTCGTCTTTGCCCCCGGGAGCCTCGCCCGGCTCAGCCAGGTCGGTTTTGTAGCCCTCGTTGAACTGTTTGGTGAGTTCTGGTTTTTCGGCATCTCCCATAACGGGCCGGGAGACGGAGACGGCGTGGACACAATCGTACCAGGCGCGAAGTACGCCGTCGTGTGGGCGCCGCCGGGCGGCGTTGTTGAGGAACCAGTCGCCATGGTAGTCCTTTGCACCACCGACTGTGTCCCCAAGTTCGAGTGCCCGCGTGACAGTCGAGCGGCACTGCGAGAGGTGAAGGCCGTTTCGGCGCTGAAGCTCGCCGATGAATATGTCGTCTGGAATGCATGTGGCGTTGCTGCCGTCGAGTTTTGTGTCGAGCCACCGCCCCGCGTAAGGCTGCGCAGTTGAGACGTAGCGGATGGACTCGCGTAGACGTATTTTGGTGTCGCCGGGCTGCCAGTTGGCTGCCGTGTAGTCGTCGAGGGCGCGCCACTCCTTCTGCAGATCGAACCAGTTCCAGATAGTCTCGATGGCAGCAAGCGCCCGCGCGTACGGGCTTCCTGATTTGCAAGTGCCATCGATGACTGACTCCGGTGTTGGAAGAGACTCAGAAGTGGGGAGGCTGACGCCCTTGGGGTAGAACTCAGAGATCTTGCCGCCGCGCAAGGTGTAGTAGATGTTGTCGTCGCGCGCGGCTCGGATGGAGGCCACCTCGTCTCGCCTCGAGAGCGCGGCTCTGTACGAGTTGACGGCGGCGTCTCGTGCACCGTACCCGCCGGAGCGCTCGGCTTCGGCAAGGTCCGGGCTGCAGGCCACAAGCTTTGACCAGCATTTGAGGAGGGAGATGTAGTAGGCCTCGGCGGGGCCGCGCACGCCCGTGCGGCCCCCACCCGTGTCGTTGGGCACGCCGACTGATGTGACGCCCGTGTCGACGCCGGAGCCTCCCGTGATGGTAGGGAGCATGGCCTGCCTCCAACCCAGGTCTTTGTATTTGGCAGGAGTATCCTCTGCCTCCGTGAGTAGTTCCCACGATTTGCGGATCCGGTTGCTCCCGTCGATGGCCGGGCCCTCGCTGATCTCTGGTGGCGTGACGGAGCAGATGTACTTCGTCTTTGGGCAGGCCTGACGGGTGATGAGGTTGTACTTGAGGTGTCCAACGTTCTGAATGCCCTCGGTGCATTCGAGCGTGTCGATGAAGTCGAGCGGACGGAGGTTTTTGGCGAGGCGTTTGCCAATCGCCTCCGAGGCAGCCTCTGTGTCGCCGAGGTAGGTTCCGACGATTTTGAAGCAGGCCTCGCGTCCGGTGAGGTTCCCGTCCTCGTCTCGGTGGTGCGGCGAGCCGACCATGAAGGGGGGTACGCAGTCGAGGTCGCCGCTCGGAGAGTAGATGATGCACTTCTCCTCGTTGTCGAGGTTGCCAGCGACATCTTTTTGCACCTCGAGTGTCCCGCCCTCTCCGCAGTAAGACTTGACGGCCTCTGCCACGGTGTCGTTTTGAACCATGTCGTCGATGAACGAAACGAAGCGGGTAGTCGGGTTCTTCTTTTGCACAATGTTGTCGATCTCGTGTTTGACTCCGGTGGTGCACATCCCTGAGAAGGCGCGCCCTTGGGCGCCGCCGCAGCACGACCGGATGTAGCCGTCGGCGTCCTCGCCGGGCGGCTCCAGGCTGAGCGGGTCCCACGGTGCGTCGGCGTCGCTCGGTCCGGCCGCCCGAGGGTCCTGGAGCGGTCCGTCCGCGCTGCACAGACGGAGGAAGCTGCGTCGACCAAACACCAACCGCATCGCCGGGATGATTGCCGGATTGCGCCTGCGCGCCCACTCAAAACAGACAGTCCTGCCGCACCCGCTCGGGTCTGGGTTGCCGTCTGCGTCCAGGGGCTGTCCCGTGAGGTTGAAGAAGTTACGCTTGTCTGACTTGATTGACGCATTCCCAGGTCGCAGGGTGTGCCACGAAGTGACTGTGTGGCACACGAGATGGGTTCCATTCTTCGAATACCCATAGTTGACTGGGAAGTTGACTGGTTGCCGTGCAGCTGCGTCGGCTCGGTAGGCGGCGTCGAGGGCGTCTCTGGCCGCTGTGATGTCGCTGTCGGTGCCGCCTCCGGCCCGGACGCGGTCGACGGTGGTTTTGAGGGTATGCTCGGCGGCGGTGAGGGCGGCGGCGGCGTTGGCGATGGCCACATCTCGGGCGTAACGATCCTCAGCGGCGAGGTGAGGTACTGCTCCATCCAGGGGCACTCTTGCATGTGTATGCAGCGCTCAGCCGACCGCGGCATGATGCTGCACATGCCGAGGGGGCGGAGGGAGCCGTCTTCCTTGACGAGGCACAAGGCTTTGAGGTCGGCGTCGAGCTGCTGTAGCCGAGGGTGTTCGACGCCCCACGAGAATGCGGTGAAGTAGTTAAGGAGGCACTTGGAGCCACGTTCGCTGTCGGTGATGATGCGCACAAAGTCGTAGTCGACGTGTTAGGGCCTCCAGCTCTGGTGACGTTGCAGCTGCGAACGAACCTGGCAAAGATCTCTGGCTTGATCTTGTACTTGCCCGCCTCATATCCGGGTTCGTCGCGCATCGCATGTTCGGGTGGTGCCTTGGCCTGCGGAGTTTTGTTGATGAATTCGTCGACGACCTTTCGGCTCCGGCCGTCTGCAGGTTTGAGCGAGTTGAAGCAGTTCCATGCCTTCTTCCACTCGCGTCGGTTCGCCCAGTAGAAAGCGGACCTGGTCTGTTCCTCCAGCGTCTGCGTCCGGTTGGGGTCGGAGACGGGCCGGTCTCCCTCTTGTTCGGGCCGTGCGGGGGGAGCGGAGGCGGAGAGGACGAGCTCGCGAAACAAAGCCATGAAACCGTCGGGGGACGAAGCACAGGCGGCGGCCCGTTGCACCATCTGGTCGTACGTGTACTTCTGCGTGCCGACGGGACGGCAGGTGATGAGCACGGCGGACACGACGGCGTAGCAGGCTCCACGTGCACCATCGAGGGTGCCCGGCTTCCGCGGCGTGCTGGCAAACGCCTCCATGCCAAAGAGGATTGGTGCCCGGCACAGGTCTCGGTACTCCTCACTCGCAGGGAACTCCTGGTGATGCAGTTGCAATCGTTTGAAGGCCTCGAGCGAGATGCCGTCGGTGAAGCACAGGTTAAAGTCGGCGGCCGGAGTCGTGTTGAGTTTGAGAGGGTCGATGGCGGCCGAGGGGTTGCCGCACGCGTTGTGTAACGCGGCGACCGCTGCTCTCTGTATGCGGGCGGCGCCGGGGACGTCGTCGGGGTGGCGGGCCTGCTGGATCCGGCTGGCGGCGGAGTCGGTGCCGACGGCGTGGGTGACGTACGAGCCGGGGGACCGGGGAGGGGCGTGCTCACGGACCCAAGCGGCGGCGGCGTTGCAGTCGGCGGTCGGGGTGTGTCCGGCGCCCGCGCGTTGTTGGTGTTGGTGCTGCTTCTTGTTGCTGACGTAATGATTGAAGAGGTTGCTCCGTTGGTTGCCTCCCGTGACGATGACGCACGCAAGTTTGTCGCACGCCACGCACTTGGTGAGCGCCGAGGAGGCCAATTCGGCGTCGGTCGCGTTGGGGTGCTTATCCGTAAAGTGTCGAAGAAGTCGGGCCGCCGAGCTCTGGTTATTTCCAAAGTCGAGTTCGCAAACGAGGCACTTGAACTTTCCTTCGTTGGTTTCGGCGGCGGCGGCGGTGACGGTGTCGGCCACGGCGGCGAGGGCGGCGAGCGTGGCGGCGTCGGCGGGCGGGGGGAAGGGGGGCGGCGTGGGCGGCATTGGGGGGCCGGCGGGGGCTGGAGGCATCCGGAGGGCGGCGGCTTGAGCGGCGAGCGTTCCGCTGTCGGGAAGAAAGCTGAGGTGTTGGGCGGGAGCAACCTCGGCGAGGGCGGCGGCGAGGGCGGCCTGGTCTGCTGGTCGCTGCTCGGGCGGTTCGCTGCCGTCGTCGTCGTCGTCATCATCGTCTTCGTCGCTGCCTGGCACGCGGTCGTCTGGGTGCGGTGGCGAGGGAGGCAGGGAGGGCGTGTCGAGGTGGTCGAGTTCCATAGCGTTTCCGTCTGGAGGCGGCGGCGGCGGGGTGGCGGCGGCGGCGAGGCACTCGGGCGGCATCGAGGCGCCGGCGGGCTGGTTTGAGAGAGCTTCGAGGCAGCCGGGTGGCACGCTGCCGACGGTGGCCTCTTGTCCAGTGCCGCTGCGTTCGGTGGCTTCGTACTGCACGGGTGACGGCGGTGGTGGTGCAGCGGCGGCGAGCTCGGTTGGAGACTTTGGCGACTCGGCGGGTGCAGGCGGCAACGCGGGCGGTGCGTCGTTGAGGTAGACGGTGCCGGGGGATAGCACTGGTGGCGGTGGCGGCGGCAGTGTGGGCGGTGGGGCGGCGGTGCCGGCGGCTCGGAGGCTTGGGTCGTGTCCGTCCTCCAGGCAGCGCAGAACCAGGCCGGCCTCGAGCTGTTCCTCCTCGGACGTGGCGGTGATGAGCGCCCTGGTTGCCTCGTCGACGGAGGTGGGCACCGTGGGCACCGCCCGCTTCCGGCGGGTGTCTGCCGCGTCCGGAGCAGCGCAGCAGCTGTTTTAGTGGAGGCGAGGCTCCTTCGAACCCCGTCGTGGGTCGCCTGGCCCGCCGTGGCGACTGTCGTTGTTGCCTGACTCTGATTCGTCGTCGGAGCGGTCGGACCGGGTGCGGGTGTTGGTGGTTCCAGGCGTGGCGTAGATGGTGACGCTGAAGATGTGCCACGGGCCTGGGAAAGCGCCGCCCTGCGCGGGCATGTACTCGGGGCGTGCGAGGGCGCCTGCCTGCGTAGGCGAGGCTGCCGTCGCGACGGAATCCAAGTGGGTATCGGCGCTGTCGAGTTGCAGTCGGGCGAGGGGCTGGGCGACTGCGCGGGTGGTGGCGGCGCTCGACGTGAGCGCGGCGGTGGCGAGGGCGAGGCCCGGGAAGGCGCCTCCGTAGAAGTTGCAGCCGAAGCGCGGCGCACATCCTCCCGGCGAGATCTTCCGCTTCTTGGGGGGGAGTGTGCAGTCGCCGTCGGAGGAGGAGCCGGCAACCGAGGTCGGGCCGTTGTCGGAGCTGCAGCTGGGGCCGGCTGTGCCGTGCGCGGGAGTTGGGCTCGGGTTGGCTGGCGGGGGCGCGGTGTCAGCGGAGGGAGGCGCGGTGGGGGGCGTGGCTGCGGCTGCGGTGGCGGCTGCGGTGGCGGTGGCGGTGGCGTCGGCGGTGGCGGTACCGAGGGCACCGGGCGTGAGGAGGGTGGGGTTGGCGGCCGCCGCTTCGGTCGCTGGCACGGGATCGCCGTTGAAGGGGTACCAGTGGTCAAGTGCAATCGGGAAGCCGGCAGGGAGCGGCACGTGTAGGTTGATGTGTTGAAGCGCTGCCGGGACGCCCCCATTGTCTTCACCGTACTTTTTGTGGATCGCTCCGCTGCCGCCGATTGCCCCATGTGCAGCGCAGAGATCCCAGCAGCTGAAGATGCCGCGTCCGAGTCGAGGGATGTAAAGAGCATAGACGGGCGGCTCCTTCTTCTTCTTCCCGTTGCCGGCGGCCCAGACCCCAGGTAGTAACGTGGCGAGGGTGATGGCTGGTCTGGAGCTGAAGGCGGCGACGCAGAGTTGAGCGGTGTACGGGTTGACGATGATGTGAGATATGTCGTAAAGAATGTCGTAAGAGATGACGGTCTCGGGACGGAACAGATCGAGGGCGTGTTGGCAGGACGACAGGTCTCTCTAAATGTCCGGTCTTCGGTTGTGGCTCTTGACGTTTTTGGAGTCGGACCGACGACCGTGTTCTCGTCGGTCGCTGTCCGATGCCGGGCAGGAGAGCCGCACGGGCAGCGCCCCTCCTTGCTTTGCTGCAGCTCGTTGGAGGGGTGGATGGCGCGTGCAATCCCTTCTGCGAGAAGAAGACCGAGCCGTGGGAGTCGCTCTGCACCTGGAATGGCTGCGACAGTTGCAGCGAATGCTACGTCCAACCACCGCCTGCAAGCCCGCCACAATGCCAGGGCTTCTGTGAAGCAAAGACGCAACCCTGGGACGCCCGGTGCAGCTGGGCCGGCTGCGGCGGCTGCACCGAGTGCGGCGCCGAGTCCGAGTGCAAGCCGTTTTGTGAGGACAAGACGCAGGCATGGGATGACAAGTGCACCTGGGAGGGCTGCAAGGGCTGCACCGAGTGCTCTCCCGCGCCGGCGTGCAAGCCGTTTTGTGAGGACAAGACGCAGGCATGGGATGACAAGTGCACCTGGGAGGGCTGCAAGGGCTGCACCGAGTGCTCTCTCCGTGCACCGGTGTGCAAGCCGTTTTGTGAAGACAAGACGCAAGACTGGGATAACAAGTGCACCTGGGGGGGGTGCAACGGCTGCACCGAGTGTTCCCCCGCGCCGGTGTGCAAGCCATTCTGTGAGGACAAGACGCAAGACTGGGATAACAAGTGCACCTGGGGGGGCTGCAACGGCTGCTCCGAGTGCGGCCCGTCGGCACAGGGCGCATCGCCTCCGCCGCTATCCCCCTCACCGCCGCCGCCGACGCCGCTGCCGCCGCCCTCGCCGCCGCCCTCTCCGCCGCCCTCGCCGCCGCCCTCGCCGCCGCCCTCGCCGCCCCCATCTCCGCCGCCCTCTCCGCCGCCCTCTCCGCCGCCCTCTCCGCCGCCCTCTCCGCCGCCCTCTCCGCCGCCCTCGCCGCCGCCCTCGCCGCCGCCCTCGCCGCCACCCTCGCCGCCGCCCTCTCCGCCGCCCTCTCCGCCGCCCTCGCCGCCGCCCTCGTCGCCGCCAGCATCGCCGCCCTCCTCGCCTCCTGCCGCGCCGCCATCTCCGCCGCCCTCTCCGCCGCCCTCTCCGCCGCCCTCGCCGCCGCCCTCGCCGCCGCCCTCTCCGCCGCCCTCGCCACCGCCTTCGCCGCCGCCCTCTCCGCCGCCCTCGTCACCGCCCTCTCCACCACCGCCTTCCTTCCCGCCAGCCGTGCCCACCGAAGAGCCACAGGCTCCTCCACCGCCTCCCTCATCGCCACCGCCGTTACCACCACCACCATCGGCGCCGCCGCCGCTGCCGCCGCCGCCTTCTCCGTGGCCACCTCCTCCTTCACCCCCCCCTCCGTCGCCGCCGCCCTCCCCACCGCCGAGCACACCGCCCTTCCCGCCCTTGACCAGCACACTCCACTACGAGGCCCAACTGCCTGTCAGCGAGGTGAAGGAGGGCGCCCAAGATGCTGCATATACATCCCGCTATTCCAACTGGCACTCGAGAAGACACATTCGGCTGCATCGCATCGAGTGCACGCCCTGGTGTCGAAGCGCTTCGACTCACGAGGTCGTCAGGACCCCCGGCTTGCCACTGTTCTTATTTGTTGGTTCCTGCGTTTACTCTTAGGAGGACACCACCATCGGCAACATCGTCGACACCGTGGAGGCGAGGCCGGAGAGATTCTCCGAGATCGCCGCACCGTCTCTGACCACGGGCATTTGCGCCCAACAGGCGGCCATGGGGGCCACGGAGGAGTCTGAAATCGAGCTCCTGCAGCAGTGCGTCATGCCGAGATAGCCGCGATCCACGTTGCACACTACACCCTGCGTTCCCATGCTCCCTCACGCGAAGACGTAAGCCCTGTGCCTATGTCCGTCTGGCCGGCACTGCAGGGATGGTCCGATTACCTTTGACATCGCGGACGGGCAGCAGGTCACTGGCGACCAGATTAAGACGGCCGTCAAGTCACAGTGCTATGAGGGCAGCGAGTGCGACGTCAACGCAACCGAAACGCATGCCGAGCTCCATCGCTGGCGCGGTGCGGCGTGGACTCACGCGAGGGGCGGTGTGCGCTCTAGGTGGTGACCGCCGCCGAGGCCCTATCTATCTTCGACTTTCATGGCCGCCCGAGCCCACCACCCGCACCGCCTGCCCTCCCACCACACCTACCGGGGATGGCGCCGGTGCCGCCACCACTGCCTCCGCCGTATCCGCCCAGCAGGGCGCCTGCTCCTCCACCTCCGCCGCCGCCGCCGTTGAATCCAGTGCCACCACTACATCCGCCTCACCCCCCCGAGTCGCCGCCACCGCCATCGGCTCCTCCGTCGCTCCCTCGCCCGCCATCTTTGCCGTCGCCACCCACGGTGCCGCCGCTATCTCCGCAGCCGCTGCCTCCGCCGCTGCCTCCACCGACAGCGCACCGGCGACGCCTCAAGCACGTCAGCACCTGCGCTAGTGGCAGGTACTGGTACTCCTTCCGGGTGCGTGGAATAGCCGAAAGCCACCTCACCGAGAGATTTCTCTGTCCGAGAGCACAACGGAGAAGTGGGCCGCGTTGTCCTCCATTCTATCTAGTCTTATGGCCGCGCACGGCTAGAAGCAGTCACGTTGGCATGCCTATGCAGGCGCCATGCTCGTCCTGTCCCAACGGATTCCGGGTCCTGAGAGCTAGGAGCAGCAGTTCGTGCAGTTGCAGCTTCGGCTCATCGCTTCAGCATGAATAGGTTTTACAAGGTCGAGTCAGCAACCCGTGCTCGTCGTCTTGGTTTGCGTCTGCAGTCCAGAGGCTTGGCCACAACAGCGTTCGATTGCGCAGGATTTCGCCCATGCCCCGGCACATATCCCGGTTGCACCTCGTGAAGCACCAATCACAACTTTGCCTTGCTCTGTGCAGGAACGGGCGAGCGCTCTCGGAGCAGGACCTCAACCAAACCGTTCGTGCCATCAACGCGTCGCAGGTTGCTGCTGACTTGGCGGATACAGCAGGTGGCGAGGAGATACGGCCGAGTTGCCGTCGAGATATAGCCGTGGATGCGAATCAAACGATGCGTTCGATTCTTCAGGCGTGCAAGTGCAAGCGGAGTCAGCGGGGTCGGAGATCGACGTTGCCATCGAGGCCACTTCTCTGGGCTCGAGCTGCGAGATTGGCGATGTCAGCTCGGCGCTCGCCCACACGACAGGCTCCAACGTGTCGACCGTGTCCGAGGACTGCGTCGCACCGCCGAGGCCGCCGCCGTCGCCGCCGCCGTCACCGCCGTCTATACCGCCGTCGCCCTCGCCGCCGCCGCCGTCGCTGCCGCCGGCCCCGCCGCCACCGGCCCCTCCGCCGCCCACTCCGCCGCCGCCGTCGCTGTCGCCCTCGCCGCCGCCGCCGGCCCCGCCGCCACCGGCCCCTCCGCCGCCCACTCCGCCGCCGCCGTCGCTGTCGCCCTCGCCGCCGCCGCCGGCCCCGCCGCCACCGGCCCCTCCGCCGCCCACTCCGCCGCCGCCGTCGCTGTCGCCCTCGCCGCCGCCGCCGGCCCCGCCGCCACCGGCCCCTCCGCCGCCCACTCCGCCGCCGCCGTCGCTGTCGCCCTCGCCGCCGCCGCCGGCCCCGCCGCCACCGGCCCCGCCGCCGCCCACTCCGCCGCCGCCGTCGCTGTCGCCCTCGCCGCCGCCGCCGGCCCCGCCGCCACCGGCCCCTCCGCCGCCCACTCCGCCGCCGCCGTCGCTGTCGCCCTCGCCGCCGCCGCCGGCCCCGCCGCCACCCGCCCCTCCGCCGCCCACTCCGCCGCCGCCGTCGCTGTCGCCCTCGCCGCCGCCGCCGGCCCCGCCGCCGCCGGCCCCGCCGCCACCGGCCCCTCCGCCGCCCACTCCGCCACCGCCGTCGCTGTCGCCCTCGCCGCCGCCGCCGGCCCCGCCGCCACCGGCCCCGCCGCCGCCCACTCCGCCGCCGCCGTCGCTGTCGCCCTCGCCGCCGCCGCCGGCCCCGCCGCCACCGGCCCCTCCGCCGCCCACTCCGCCGCCGCCGTCGCTGTCGCCCTCGCCGCCGCCGCCGGCCCCGCCGCCACCCGCCCCTCCGCCGCCCACTCCGCCGCCGCCGTCGCTGTCGCCCTCGCCGCCGCCGCCGGCCCCGCCGCCACCGGCCCCTCCGCCGCCCACTCCGCCGCCGCCGTCGCTGTCGCCCTCGCCGCCGCCGCCGGCCCCGCCGCCACCGGCCCCTCCGCCGCCCACTGCGCCGCCGCCGTCGCTGTCGCCCTCGACGCCGCCGCCGGCCCCGCCGCCACCGGCCCCTCCGCCGCCCACTCCGCCGCCGCCGTCGCTGTCGCCCTCGCCGCCGCCGCCGGCCCCGCCGCCACCGGCCCCTCCGCCGCCCACTCCGCCGCCGCCGTCGCTGTCACCCTCGCCGCCGCCGCCGGCCCCGCCGCCACCTGCCCCTCCGCCGCCCACTCCGCCGCCGCCGTCGCTGTCGCCCTCGCCGCCGCCGCCGGCCCCGCCGCCACCGGCCCCTCCGCCGCCCACTCCGCCGCCGCCGTCGCTGCCGCCCTCGCCGCCTCCCACGCCGCCGCCTCCGGCACCGCCTCCGCCGGCCCCTCCGCCGCCCTCGCCGCCGCCGCCGTCGCTGTCGCCCTCGCCGCCACTGCCCTCACCGCCGCCTCCGGCACCGCCGCCCACTCCGCCGCCGCCACCCTTACCGCCGCCTCCGGCACCGCCGCCGCCGGCCCCTCCGCCGCCCTCGCCGCCGCCGCCGTCGCTGTCGCCCTCGCCGCCTCCCACGCCGCCGCCTCCGGCACCGCCGCCGCCGGCCCCTCCGCCGCCCTCGCCGCCGCCGCCGTCGCTGTCGCCCTCGCCGCCTCCCACGCCGCCGCCTCCGGCACCGCCGCCGCCTGCCCCTCCGCCGCCCTCGCCGTCGCCGCCGTCGCTGTCGCCCCCTCTTCTACCCGGCATGGTGCAGCTGAGCTGCGATTTCGAGGTCGACACTTGCGCCTGGACCGACACCGCGCCGGACGGGTACTCTTGGACGCGCACGAACGGCGGCACGCCATCGTACAGCACAGGCCCGGGCAGTGGCCACAGCGGCTCGGGCTCCTACCTCTTCACCGAGGCCAGTGGTCGCACCAACACGCCGCACCAGCTCGAGAGCCCGCTCTTCTCGCTCCAGCAGGCCGCCACCCTCTCCTTCTCCTACCACATGTACGGCTCCAACATGGGCACCCTCTCCTTCGAGGCTTACGACAACGAGACGGGCTGGTCGACGCTCTGGAGCAGGGCTGGCAACCAGGGCAATAGCTGGCTCGACGCGGCGGTCGTTCTGCCCGCCTCGACGGTGCAAGTGCGCTTCAACGGCCGGACGGGAAACGGCTGGTACTCGGACATGGCGCTGGACGACGTCTCCTTCTCGCAGTTTGTGCCTCCAGCATCGCCGCCGTCGCCGCCCTCGCCTCCGCCGCAACGGTGCGACTCATACAGTGCCATGCACGTGTGCTGGTCGAATGACGGCTCCGGCAATCACGGCTTCACGGGCAACAACCGAACTTACCTCGGGACGCCCGACACCTCCGCGGGCTGCCGCGCGCTGTGCGAGGAGCAGAGCGAGACGGGCTGCTGCGAGTGGCGCTCGAGCAAACACTGCAACTGGAAGCGGAATGCCGATCTGTATGACTCGGCGGCACACACGGACACGATGAGCTTCCTGTGCTCTGTTTGGTCCAAATTGGGGTAGAGGGACCGAAAAAAGAAAGCCAGGTGCCCGTGGATGGCGTGGGCGATATGCTGCCGATATGCTGCCGAGGGGCTACTGGCTGCTCCTAACGCAGCCGCGAAAGGCCGACGAGAAATGCCGCGAGACGAAGGAAACCACCCATGGCCGCTGCGTCCAAATTTGCTGCTCCTTCTGGCGGACGACATGGGCTGGGGCGACTGGCCGAACGCAAACATGCCTCTCCGCCACCTCGACGCGCTCGCCGCCGCCGGCACTCGCTTCACGGCCTTCTACACGCCGTCGTGCATCTGCTCGCCGGCGCGTGGCGCGCTGCTGACCGGCCGGATGGCGATTCGATGGGGTGGCGCCGGCGCAACATGGCACGGCACGGCCTTTGGAGCGGGCGCAAATGGTGGGCGGGTGACATTAGATGCGGAACGAGGCACATCCACAGACATGTCTGACTTGGCGGTGCGACCGGATCTCAATTTCTCTCTGTAGGCTGCCGGCCTCGGAGCACACCATTGGGACGGAGCTCCGCTCGCTCGGCTACGCGACGGCCATGGCGGGAAAGTGGTACGAGTCACGGGCAGTGGATTGTGAAGCAATCCCTCTGTTCGCCGCCGTGACCACTGCGCCGGCCGCGTAGGCACCTCGGCCAGGCGGCGGGACACACGCCCCGCGACCACGGCTTTGACCGCTTCCTCGGCATCCCCTTCTCCACCGACATGGGACGCCTCGCAGCTGGGAGCGGGGCAGGCGTGGCCGAGGTGTGACCCAGGCGTGGCCGAGGCGTCTAGGCTCCTCCGCGTGGCAGCTGAGCGACGCGCTGCCGCTGCCGCTGCTCGCCAACGAGTCGATCGCGGAGCAGCCCGCCGACATCGGAGCGCTCACCGCCACGTACCTCTCCTTCTCTCGCGAGTTTGTGTTCTCCGCCGCCCGCCGCGCCCAGCCGTGGCTCGGCCGCGTCTCCCCTCGGCCAGCTGCACGAGGTGCGCCTCTCCAGACCAGTTCTGCGAACAGGTTCCTCTTCGTCTCCTTCCACCAGCCGCACGTGCCGCTCGCGCCCTCGCCCCGCTTCTGCAACCGGTCTGCCGCGGGGAGCTACGGCGACACGCTGCTCGAGATGGACGAGGCGCTCTAGTAGCAGTAGCAGTGAAGAGACGCTGTTCACACCTGCTCGAGATGGACGAGGCGCTCTCTGGTCAGCGGAGCTGTAGTGCGCCGTCTCAGAGCCTCCACGGAGCCCTCTCGGAGCCTTCTCGGAGCCTTCCCTGCAGGCGATCGGCGAGCTGGGCAGGATCGTCTCGGAGGCCGGCGCGGCGCGCAGCACGCTGACGCTCTTCGCGTCCGACAACGGCCCGTGGGTGGAGATGGCCCCCGCGGCTGGCTCGGCAGGCCCGCTGCGGGGCGGCAAGTTCACGACGTACGAGGGAGGCATCCGCGTGCCCGCGCTCGCGCACTTGCCGGGCACCGTGCCGGCCGGCCGCGTGACGGCCGCCGTGGCCTCGCTGCTGGACGTGCTCCCCACCGCCGTCCGGCTCGCGGGCGGGACTCCGCGCGCGCAGCTGCTCGACGGGAGGGACCTCCGCCCGCTCCTGTCCGGGCGGAGCGAGGTGAGCCCCCCGCACCGCCTCCTCGGCGGCACCCGCGCCCTCTCCTGAGCTGCCTCGGGCCGCACAGGCGGGCCCGCACCGCTGCCTCTTCTTCTTTGGAGGCACGCCCGGCGCCGGCTGCCGCGGCGACCGGCGGCGGTGCCCCGGCCTGTGGGCGGCGTCCTGTCGCGTTTACTCATCCAAGGAGGCCATTCGAATGGAATCAGGTGCCCCGGCCTGTGGGCTGCGCGCTGCGGCGACTACAAGCTGCACTTCGCCACGCGCGCCGGCCAGCGCTCCTCCCCGGTGGCGAGGCAGCACCTCTACCACGTCGGGCGGGACGCGGCCGAGTCGAGGCCGCTCCACGCGCGCCGCCGCGGCGGCGCGCTCGACGACTTCTCGCCCTCCGAGGCCGAGCGCTCGATCGCGCGGATCAACGCCTCCGTCGCCGCTCTGGAGGCGACGCTGCCGGGCAGCAGAGGAGCGCCTCCCGTCCCTAACCAGCTCGGGCGCGGCTACTCGCGGAACGCCACCCTCTGCTGCCATTCCTCGGGATCGGGACGGCGGCTCTCCGACTCGCAGAAGGCGAGCGAGCCCCCGACCTGACTTTCGTGCGGTGCGGGCAGCGCCCCATCACACGCCCTGCCGCTGCGGGTAGGCGCCGGCCAGACACCAGCGCGGCTCTGCCGGGCACAGCTTGCCTCGGTGCACGTGCAGCCCCCGCAACTGGCGCGCGCCCACTTGCGCGCGGCTGTGGCCGCCATGTGGCCAGCCGCGCCCGCCCGTCGGCGTCGCGTGTGAAAATCGCGCCGCACAAGCTCGCGCTGCCCGCGATGCGTGGTGGCGCAGAAGGCCACCAGATGGGCGAGAAACGAGCACTTCACTGTGAACGCTTGAGTGTTGAGAGACTCTTCTCTCTTGCGCTTTCCCGCGTGGTCTCGCGATTTTGTCCTCGCGCAGCGCGCAAGCCGCGAGCCTAAATAAATAAATAAAAACGGACGTCTGTCGACTGTTGCTCTGTGTCTGTGTGAGATGGGTAAAAAGAGGTCCTGCGCCCAGCCTACACGGCATGTTACACAGGATTTTTTACGGTCATATATCGCACAAACATGTCCCACCCAGTGCGTGTGAGAGCTGCAGTGTGTGACCGGTGTGAGGTGTGACCGTCGCGCGTCGGTGCGCGGACCTCCCCGGCCGCGGGGTGAAGCGGTGACCCCGGTGTGAGCGGAGAGCGGTGACCGGTGTCTCCCGGTGCGGTCTCCTCCGCCGCACGCGCATTGCGCCCGGCGAGCGAGGCGGCGAGAAAAACGAGACAAACAATAAAAAGACAAAAAATAAAAGCCGCTTGTTTAGGTCAATACGCTCTCGCTTGTCCCCCTCCCACCTTAGGTGGTTGCAGCCAGGATGGCAGCTCAACCGGCTTGGCCGCAGGCGCTTCGCCGGCGATCGGCTCACTGCCGTCCTCGGCTCGGAACACCAGGGCGCCGCCGTCGATGCAGAAGCGTTTGCCGCTCTCCGCGGCGCGTGTGCCAGGGAACAAGAACCCGTCGGCGAAGACGTCGCCGAGGTGGCCGCCGCAGGTCCCGCAGCGGACCTCTGTGCCCCCGACGGCGGCTAGGACGGGATTGTTCTTCAAGACCTCGACGGCGGGGAGTGAAGTCGCGAAGCTCGGCCATCCCGTCCCAGAGTTGAACTTGTCGACGCTGCTGAAGAGCGCCGAGTCGCAGGCAGCGCAGTGGTACGTGCCGGCACGCTTCTCCTATGCGACCAAGGTGCGACCTCACGAGCGTGCTCGACGCATCTAATACTGCCGCTCAGGAAGTGTCAACCTTGTAGAGCGGCGACGTATTCGGCTGCTCGGTCCCGCCCTTGCGCAGAATGTAGTACTGTTCGCCGCTCAGCACGTAGGCCCACTCGCGCTCCGATCGCTGCACGGAGTAGCCATCACTGCGAGACTTCTCCGCGTGCGCCGGGCAAGCGCTCAGCAGCGTGGATGAAACGCCGAGCCCGCACGCACACGCGGAGCGGCGCGACAGAGACAGAGGCTGGCGCAGGCCCATCACCGCGAGCATTGAGACGAGCATCTAGGCACCTATGTGAGCCTCGGCGAGCGCGAAGGCGCGGACCCGGTGCGCGCGCTGGCGCCGCGCGCTACGACGATGGCAGTCCGGGTTTTGCGAGACGGGTGTCGTCCGGCAAGATGGCATCACGCTCGCACCTGCCGACCGCCGCCACGGCGGCGAGACGCCTTCTCCGCCACCGCGGCGCCGGCCACAGGCCAGCGCTAGGCAGCTGCCGGCCACACTGGGCCGGATTTGCCGGTAACCGTCGCCGCACACTCCTACATCCACGCCGCTGTGACGTCTGGCGACGAGGCGCCGGCCGCCAAGCTTCATCGCCAAGGTGGTCGCTCGCTGGTCCTCTCGGCTCGGCCACGCGTCGGCCCAGCTCACACGAGCTCCAGACAGCCACCAGTCGCCACGCGCAAAGCGTACGGGTCGCCGGCTCCCTGTTGTGCTCTCACGCTGGCCGGCGTAAAACTGTACTGGCAGTTGTCATGCCGTACCCGTCGCGTTTCGAAAGGGAGCCCTCAGTCGACGCCTCTACACGCACCGCGCCACCGCTCTCCACAACTGCTACCGTGGACATCAAGCTCCTCGACTCGATCTGCGGCTACGACGGCGCTCTAGCTGCTGGCTCTCGCGGGTGTCTGGCGACCCGCTCAGGCTTGCGAAACGGCCGGCCGCGGCGACGTGTTTCGAGCTCGCTGACCTTCTCCGCGCGGCTGGGCCCGCCCCTAGTCGGGGACGACCCGCCCAGTCACTGGGCAGCGCGTGCGCCGGCGTTCTGGACGACGGTGTGCCGATGCATCCGGGAGGCTCCGTGGGGCTGCTCTAGCAGCCTCGGGAGGGTCGAAAATCGAAGCCGAAGCGGCGGACCACGGAAGCTCCACGGACGGTGAGGCGGGCTGTGGTTGGCCCCCCCTGACCGGGTGAGGGAGTGGCGCCCCGGGAGTGCCGCTCCGGCGACGTCTGTGGCCTCCACGGTACCGTGACCGCGCCGGCCTCGCTCGGGAGGCTCTTTCGGAGCCGTCGGCCTCCGAAACCGTCGCGTTGCTGCGCCTGGACGGCTTCGATGCTCGCCAAACCCGTCGGCACCGTTCATATACACATGAATTGTGAACGAACGCGCATTTTTCTGATATCTTACTGAAATGTTCCCGAATGTTAGTTTCGATATCTAGTCCTCACGGACACAAAACAGAGGCCTCCTAGCACGGAGAAGCGACTAAGAGTCGCCGACGTGCGAGTAAGATACCAGAAAAATACGCCCGGAATCACAATTGATCCCGTCGACAAGGCGCCCCAATCGCGGAGGTCTGGCGCGGGCGTGGAGGCGAGCATCGACGCCTCGACGGTTGCTCTTCAGAGGCCGAAAACAGGCGCCTGAAAAAGGAGAGAACGCGAGACTGATCACGCGCGCGGAAAAGCCCGAGGGGCGAATCTAAAGTGCCGAGGCGCTTGCTAATCACCCCAGCTAGGGCCACGGAGGCGCTCGCGGCAGGTCTCCGCGCGCGCGCTGGCCGGTGGCAGCTGATCTCGGGCGGCGGGCGGCGGGAATGGGCTCGGGCGGCACCTTTTGCCCTCAAAAGTCGTTCGAGAGTACCGGGTCGCGGCGGGAACGCGCCCATCCGCTCGATGGGTGTCAGGAGTCGATCGCCTGCGCCACGAGCGAGCACGGGAGTCGTCGCGATGGGAGTCGTAGCGGCGTGGCGCTGGGCTTCGAGAGAGCGACGTGGGCGCGGCGGCGCGGGCGGCCGGTGGGGCGCGTGAGGTCCGCACCTTCGCGACGGGCAGGCTCGATACGGCCGCTGGCCGGGGCGGCCGCTCGACCGGCCGCCGCGGTCGTTCCGGCGGCGGCGTCGGCGTCGGCGTCGCGAGCGAACTGGCTCGCATTCGACGAGCGACCCTCTTCACAGAACCCGGACTGCCACCTTAACCGTGTGCGTTTATTGAGAACTGGCTCAAGCTCTCATCAGGCACAGGCGCCACAATCTCGAGATATTTTCTTCTTTTTCAAGAATAAATTTTCTATATGCGTGTGGGGGTTGAAGGACACCTAACGCGTCACCGCCGAGCGGCCTCGGACAACCGCGGCCAAACGGAGGCTCACACGTCGCTCGCGCCACTGTAGACAGCTTCGCCCCCGACTTTCTCTCGCTTGATCAGGGGTGGCAGTGCGCGCGATGGGGTGCCGCGGGTCCGCTTCACGGGCCGGCGAGCTGCGCGCGGTCCCTGTCCTCGCGGATGATGACCGGCACCGACGTCGGCGGGATGACGCCCGCCTCGGTGACGACCATGGTGAGGTACTTCATCGGCGTCACGTCGTACATCAGGTTGAGCAGCTTGAGCCGCGGCCGCTCGCGCCAGTCGGAGAGCGAGGCGCCGCCCTGGTCGGCGTCCGCCGCCTGGAGCAGCGCGTCGGGGTCGCCGAGCTCGTTGTAGCAGATCGCGTCGAGCAGGACCCGCTCCGTAAACTTGTACGTCTCGCAGCAGACGAGCACGGCGACCCCGTGCTCGTGCGCCGCCATGGCGACGAGCGCGGTGCCGGCGCGAGAGACGAGGGTGCCTGAGGGGAGGCGCGTGGGAGGTGTGTGCCGGGCTCGAGGGCGGTGCCGGCGAGGGCGAGGAGAGAGGCTTGCCGTTGACCAGCATCGACGAGGCCCCGAGCAGAACCTGCCGGCATGCATCAGCCGCTCACCATTCATCATGAGCTGGCCGAGGCAACGCATCGCGTGCCGGCGCGCGTGCCGTGCATGGGGGGGGGGGGGGGGGGGCCCAAGCCCTTCCCTGTGACCCCCCTTTGGGGGGGCCCAGGGGGGGCGGTAAACCCCCGGGGCGGCCCCCCCCCGGTGTGGCCCAAGACCGCGGGGGCCAGGACCCTTCACCCCTTTTCAGGCCTGGGCGGTGTGGAAAGGGGGCCCGGGGGGCGGGGAAACCCTTAAAAACGGATGGCCTCCTGTACCAAAGGGCGTCCCCCACCAAATAGGGACAGGGGATGCCTGC